CAAATTTCCCAGGCATAAATAAATCACATTTAAATTTAAATTTAAAATAGAGGACTGCTTTTATTTTTATTTTTGCTTCTACTTATTTTTCGCTTCTTTTTATTCTCCAGTTCCATTAGTAAGACGCGCTACAGCAGATGATGATCCCTGTGTTGTTGATAGAATTAAACAACAACGAATGGTTTCTTTTGCGCATCGTCGTCGTCGAACAACTTCATTTAAAACTCGAGTTTCCCGTTCATTAATTCCCAGACATTCAATGCGTGCTGGGCGTAGCCGAACAGAAAATAATGATGAAATAGATTTGGAATTAGGTGAAAATGAAAATATTATGTTGGCAAATTCTGAGGAAATACCCTCTTCTTCTGAACAAACAACAACAAATAATCAACAAGGAGGTCCTTCTCGATCACCTATTTTTATGCTTAGTATGGCTCAAAGAGGTGTTTTTTTGCTTTCTTTTTGTTTTGCTTGCCTTTCTTCTCTTTTTATTTTTAAAATTAATATTTTTGTATTTTTTATAAAATTTTTAAAGGTTCTAGACTTAAACCAGATGGACAACAAATACAATCACAACAACAACAACCTCCTCCTCATTCACCAGAACGTTTGTCATGTGGAACTGCTGCTTCTGTTATACAAAAAGAGCAGGCTGAAGAGGATGATGAAGAAGAAATGATTAGAAATATGCCTTGGTTAAAGGTAGATAGTTGGAATTTTTGTGAATAATGTAAAAATTATTTTTAGACACTTCTAGCTTTTAGTCAACGCTATGGGTTTACCTGTGCTCATGAAAATTTTTGTTCTAAATGGTGTTTTGAAAGAATATATAGGTTGATAAAAATTAATAATATGTAATATACTAAATCCTGTTTTTCGAGGGAATTGAAAGTAACTTTTAAAAGTTTATTAGAAAAGCTCCTCCAAAAAAGGGCTGGATAACTTTGACTTTTAAAAAGCGGAAGGCGGAAGAAACGGAAAAAAAATTAAAAGAAGCGTAAGACTTAAAAAAGACGCAAGTATGCGGAAGACGGAAGCGGAAAAAATCCGGCCCTGCTCCAAAAGCTTTAAACTCCTCAAATATTGTAGGACATTCTACTGAATTTACTCTTTTAATTTTTAGACAATGTTTACGTCTTGTAGAAGCTTTATCTATTGTTTATGGCAATCATTCCCTCGAGGGCCGAATCGACAGGCGTCAACAATTTATAGATAGATGGCAAAGTATTCAACATAATGCACAAGTGAAAGAATTATTTTAAGGATTTTTGAAAATATTTGTTAATTTTAAAGAAAAGACACTCTTCAAACCCTCCCAGAAGAGAAAGTGCAAATGTCCGTCAAAGCGGGGTTGATCGAATGCCTCTTGCATTGAGAGGGTTAATAATTGAAAAATTAATGGAAATTGAGGAGATTAAGGCTAAAAAGACTGATGTAAGAGAATATTTAATTAAAATAAATAAATTAAAATAAAAGGAAATGGAAGCAATTGCTGAACCTAAAGAACTTAAACAACAAAAAAATTCTCCCATTTTTGGAATATTAAAAACTCAATTATTAGGATTAGTTCATTCACCCCTTTCTACACTTCTTAAGAGTATTGTTTTAATAAAAGGGGAACAACTTGTGCCTGTTATTCCGATTGCTTGGACTTTACTTACTCGAATTGAGGATTCTAATTTAACAGCAACTGCTGGTTTTTTTAAATTTAAAAATAATTTAAAGAAATTATTTTTAGCGGCATTTTTTATTTGTTGTGCAGTTAAATGCCCACAAGAAATTAATTCTTTAATGGCTGCTGATCTAGCATCAACCGATCCTTCTGTTCGCACTTTAGCTATTAAACGTTTTTATGTTCTATGGCGTCAACGTTTTCATGTTTGGTTGAAATTGGAAGAGGGGGCCCAACTTTTATTTAAAGTAAATTTTAGAAGGATTTTGCTTTGGATCAGAGAGGTTTTGGGATTCTTTAAATATTTTAGAGCAACCTTTATCAGATAGCTTTATAATTTAATTTAGGTCCCCCCACCAAGTATTGACTTTACACTTCCATCCCCTTCAATTGGCCAAAGTCAAGTACCTATTGTCGATCCACCATGGATGCCACCATTAAAAACTAAAATAGAAGAATTATCATTAAAAGAAGAAGAACAATCAACAACACAAACAATTATGGCAATGACTAGAACAAGAAGAAAACAAAAACAAGAAATGGTTAGAAAAGCTTTAAGGAGAGCTGAGGAAAGGCAGAGAGAATTGAGAGAACAATTCCCGCTTAGAGCAACTGCTATTGTTCAACAAGTACAGAATTTTGTTTAAAAAAATTAATTTAATAATCACAATAATTATTTCAAGTGGCCATTACCATTTAATGGAGATATCTAATGACATTAGATGACACCCAAGCTGACTCCCTTCGGTTTTCTTCGTTCCTTTCAGTTCTTTATATCGAGATTTGAATACTATTTTGACCCTAATTATTTTCTAAAAATACACCCCGCATCGATTGGTCTAATAAACCTCACGAAATATTAACTAATAACTAATTTATTTTTGTCAAAATTGGCATATATTTTATTTCCTCCACTTTCAGGCAGCTTATGAACCAGCACTTTTTCAACATCAACAATTAATTGTTCAAGCAGATAATTCAACTTCAGGTGTAACAGGGGGAGATGAATCGACTATAGCAGAGACTGCCCTTTCCATTCCTACAAGACAAATAGCTATACCTGTGGCACAACCTTTATTTCCTTCTTCAATACTTTCTGTTGTACCAACAATTGTAGAATTATTAGATGACCCTCAAGTGGACAATGGAGGGGTTTCAGGTGTTTTTTATTTTTAAATTGAATTTATTTAAGTTTCCGTTTTAGTAGATCATTTATCTCACATCCGAATACTTTTTGTAATTAAATTTTATTTCGGTTTAATGCCGTTATTTAAAAAGAATCAAAAAAGTAGTTTAAGTTCGTGCAAACTCATTGAATATATAATAGCCATTTTCTATATACTAGAATGCCCGGTCATTCTATTTTTAAATCACGTTCCAAAGGGGCATTCTATTAGGGGGAGCATTCTATTGGAGGATGACATTCTATTTTTCAATCATGCTCCAGAGGGGCATTCTATTGGAGGGGGCATTGTATTAGAGGAAATATTGTATTAATTCATAAATATTTTTAGTTGGCGAAACCTGCCGAAATATAATTTGGAATTGTCTAGTTGAAGATACAGCTTTATTTCTTCGTCACTTTTTTGAAAAATTTACAAATCGAGACAAACAAGTTTTAAAAATATTTTAAAATTTATCTTAAAAATATTCTCTTATAGAAACAAATGTTAGCACTTCTTCGCCGTCTCGTTCTTCGTTTTCGCCCTTTACCCCCACAAACTGCACATACAATTTTAAATGCTTTATTAGGACTTGTAATGTTTTATGTAAGAACACCGGGAGGAGGTAGTGGAGGAAATGAAGGAGGGGAAATTGGAGGAAGTGATCGTTCTTTGGCTTTAGCTTTATCTGTTTGTTGGTTAATTGTCCCTTATGTTCATGGTCTTTATTTCAAAGACCTGAAACAAACTTTAAAAAAAGAACAATGTGACCAGGCTATTATGATTACTGCTAATTTACCTAGCGCTAAGAAGGTGTTTTTAATTTTTTGAAAAAATTAAATAATCTAGAGAAGCTTTTAATTAAGTAATTTTTAGTGTTATTTTAGTGAAATAAAGTCTAGACGACCTTTAAAATATTTTTTAATTTTCGTAAATTAATATTCTTATCTTTCTGTCTTTATTTGAGTCATTAAGGCACTTAATCATTTAAATTAATTTTTTTTTTATTCAAAAAATAACTCCAGGTATTAGTTCATGGCCTTCCTTCAGACCAATTACAAAGTGCTGGTTATAGTGGAATTCCAGCACAATTTCCAGTTCTCGAAGAAACACAATTTCAGCATTTAATTAACGAATCTCTTCACTTTTTTGGTATTGAAGAAAATGTTCTAAACAAACAACAACAATATTATCTTTACGATCCGAAAACTTTTATATTACATAATCCAAATTCTTATGTTCGGTAATTTAAATTTAACTATTTCCCAAAAGGTTATTTTTTTGAAGAGATTTTTATTTCTTTCACCGTTCATTTTACCCTCAATTACAACTTTTACGTCTTGATGCAGAAACTGCAGAGCAAAGAATTCGAGAACATTCATTCCATCAAAAACTTATTGAAACTGGAAAAGTGCTTCTTACACATAGTGGGTTTAATTATTGAAAAATATTCATTAAATTTAATTTTTAGATGCTCTCCGTCATTCACCCGAATCAGTTGTTCCCCAAAGAATATTCTTTCTTCATGACGAATTTACTCATTTACCATCATTCCCTCGCAAAGCTGTAGAATCTTGCTTTGGAATGTATCAAGGTCTTTGGGGTGATGAATTACAAACAATGGATGCTTTACATAAATTCTCTTGGGCAAATGTAAGATTTTCACGGTACTCCTAAAATTCCATTTTTAACTCCTAAATTTTATTTTCCCCTTCGAAAATTCCTTAATTTTTTAGTTAATGTCAAATATGTTTGAAAAAATGGAGAATGTATTTATGTTTGGGGATTTACATTTATTTATAAATGTAATTAATGGTGTTATGGTAATTTAAAGAAAAATAATTTTTTAAATTTTCTATTAGATAATTCATTGTGAAGACGTTTTAATTCTTCGTCGTTGTATGACAGCTTATTTAACAATGAGTATTCACTTTCAATCACTTTTTGCCATTCAAGGATTTTTCTTAATTATGCCTACAATACTACGTTGTTATTGGTAGGGTATTTTAATTTTACAAGAAAACATTCAACAAAAATACAATTTTAATACAAGATATACTATTTGAAAGGGAAATAATCTTATCGGTTTTTATCATTTTACCACTCATCTTTTCTCATAGACACATTACAGTAGCCGTTCGAAAAGAAGGAGCATCAGTCATCTTTTACTCATCATCTTCGCCGCCAACAGATTTTGTCGCGGAGCTATTTTGTGTAAATATGGCACGGTCAAGACTGCTCAGCGTCTGGAAAAAAATAAATTTTTGTTTAAAAACAGAATGCCAAAAATTTCAGAATTTTACCTCATAACCAGCTGTATCACCCATACTACTTTCCTCCTTTTTGATCTCTTCTTTTAGAGATGGCTGAGACTTTGTCTTTTCATTGCTGCTTCCTTTCTTATGATGATGATGAGGCTTCTTCTCCTTCTTTGTGTCATTTTTATCCTTTTTGTGAGTAGAACTAATTTTACTTTTCTGAAGCTTTTTGGAAATATTTTTCTTCGTTGAAATGTTCTTCTTCTTGCTCTCAGCCAAACTCCTCTCTTCACTTTTTGTTACTTCAACGGTCGATGCTTCTGTATGTTCGGTTTCATCTGTTTGTTCGGCTGTGTCCTGTGTTTGGTTGGTATCCTTTGATTTCTTTTTGTTCTAAAAATGAGCAAAAAATTTGGAAAAAAATTTTCTTCAAAATTTACCTTCTCTTTCTTCGTTGACCCCTTGGCAGTCCCGAATATACTATTCATGTCCAGCTTCCCAAGAGTTTGGTATTCAGCCCCTTCAGCAATTCCTTTCTGTCCAGGTGCCTCATCAACCATTTTTGGCGGACCCAGTTTTGGCGTTAATTTTGGAAGGTGCTGGACAAATATATTTTGATCTAATTTGTCCAATGTCATGTAGCCACCACCATCTGCCATTCCCGAGTCGTGTTTGTCGTCTTTCATTTTTGGAAGGCCAACTGCTGTCTGTGCCAATTGCTTTTGTTTTTCTTCTTTTCGCTCGTCAATCATTTCCGGTCCTTTACTTGACCTTTTTGATCCTTCCTTCTTCTCTTTTGGTTTCTCGCTTGGCTTTTTGACAGACTTCCTAACACCTTGCTGTTGTCCAACCGTTTGTTGTGCTGATGGAGCCTCCGTTGCAGCAGGAGCAGGCTGTGGTCGAACCAATCTCTTTAAAAAAATAAAATTACATATTTTTGAAAAAAGGCGAATATATTCACCTTTTTTTTCTTCTTTTTGCAGCAACAACATTGCATAGGCAGAAACGTCCCAGAAAGCATCAAAAAGATGAGAGTAATTGTAAGAAACGTATAGGTTGCGGGGACCGCGAGGGCCAAACTCAATCCTTCCGAGGACATACGTTAAGGATCGAGCTGGAGAGTTGGCTTGAAAAGTTGAAGAACGCGTCGTTGGAGTTTTGTTGGACTCGATAGAAAGTTGAAAATCTGATAGGATTTTTAAAACTTAATCCGGCTTTTATACTGCCACGTTAGTATCTACCTCTATTTGCTCTACTGAAAAATTAATTTTAGTCATTAATTTTTAAGTAAATACGTGTTATGTTAACTTCTTACGTTTTACATTTAATTTTAAAAGGGAGATCATTTCTATTAAAATTTTATATAGTGTTAGCCAGTGCTGGGTATTTACCATTTGTTGGCTCCGGCTCTGGGTGAGCTCCGGGGTTTTCAAAATCTTAGCCCCGGCTCCGCCGGAGCCGGCCTCCCGGAGCCATACCTAGCACTGGTGTTAGCTAGCCATCGTTTCTAAAAACTTGTCTATTTATTATTGAATGTATCCCAGTCACTAAAAAATTAAATATTTTTAAAATAAAAATTTTAAATTAATTTTAAAGTCAACGACAACCTAATCGTCTTTTCACTCAAGTAATTGAATTTGTTTGTAAACAATTTTATATTCTTCACCGAAAACCATTTTTATTACAAATGTATTTTTTTAAATTTTAAAATAAAATTTTTGGAAATAAAAAAGGTTTGGATCAATAGCTGATATTTTGGATCAAAATGATAACGATTTGGAGGCTAGTCCAATGAAGGTTAAAGCAAAATATTTATTTTCTCTTTTACTTGCAATGGAGAAAATGCTTGAACCGATGGACCAATTACAAATTTTAAGGCAAATTTTTGGATAAAAAATTTTTAAATATTAAATATCTCTTAAGTGTTCTTCCCTATCCAACACCTTTACAAGCATTAGATTTATGTTATAAAGATGAACCTAATACTTTTACAATCCTTACAGATGCAATGGCTAGTTGTGTGTAAGTTTAGTTTAGAAATTTGTTCTTTTCGTTTTTTATCAGTTAATGACCTGGGTTATAACTTAAGTATGTCCTTATCAAAATTTTAAGGCATAATTATGAGATAAAACATGAAGTATTTTCAATTTATTACTGGAGTAATTAATCTAATGAGACTAATTACTCGAAACAATATTCTATAATGTTTTTACAGTAACACTTTTTAACCTTTATTTGAAAATTTGCAGTACAATTTGTGCATTTGCCCCAGAAACACGTCGCAGTCACCAAATGTTACTTTGTATGCAGTCAATGCTTCCCCATCTTTTATTACACATGGAAGAAGAAAGTAGTAATGCAGCAACTGCAGCCACAAGTAAAAACGGGGGTGTTGGGGATGCTTCTGGCCATCGTTCACAGAGTGCTGGAATGACTGGTGCTGCATCAACTTTTGCTGAGATTAAACATGAATTGGCTGCTTTTGCAACACTTGGAGTTGAAATGCGTGCATTAGCAAATAGTTGTGATGTTTTGGCAAGAGGGCCAACACGTTCACTTGATTTTTTATCTGCGACTGGCGTAGGAGCTTCTAATGGTAATAAATTCCAGTAACCTCATCCTCACGAATGGAGAATTTTATGTTTATACATTACCACAATATATTGGCTAGTTCGAGGAACTCCACGGACTTGAGATTTTCTTTTTTGGTCTACCTCCTTCCTATAGCTACATAAATTAGATTAAGTTGAAGGATGTTCATTGCTGTAAAACGTTAAACAGCTTAAAATTATCGTGGAATTTTTTTTAAATAATTTAATAATTCTAAAGCGTTCTCAACCGCTATGCGTGAACGTAAAAGCCGTTCATTCCTAGCAACAAATGAACGTGCTGATTCCCCTCAGTTTTTTGATCCCCCAACAATTATTGACGACGAACCAAGTAAACAACAACCAACTGGAGGTCAAAGCCATTCTGGAGGAGGGATAAACAACACTGGAGGTACAAAACCAAAACTTACAATGGCAGGTTGGGCAGATTCTGGTACAACTACGGATATTGAAATACATAAAGAACAGTTTAGAGGGCCTAGAGATGCGTGAGTTTTTTCTTATTTAATTTTTCTTAATTTTCCGAATTTATCTCGAGATTGATTAATTTAAAAAAATATTCAAGAAAAATCTTTAACAACATTTTTTAAGTTTACTTACCCTTTGTGCAATGTTCATTCACCGAGGATCTATTCGCCTTAAAGAACTTTCAAAGCTTTTGGCATCAGGTAGTGGACATTCTGCAGAACACTCCTCTACTCGAGTACCTGAATTACTTGATCATCGTTGTCATTCAAAAATTAGTGAAGTAGCTGTCGCTTTACTTAAATTAGCTCCCTATGATGCACAAACACTTACATGTAATGGATTACGTGATTACTTTACTCACGTTCTTCCAATTGTTGATTGGTCTGTTGAGACTAATAGGTACACACATACATACTAGTAGGGTTGTCGGGTAGTTGGAAATCCTCGGATATCCGGATCCGATATCCGAACCGAAAATTTCCGGTATCAAACCTTTTTTCGGATCCAGATCCGGCAACCCTATTATACACCTATATTTTTATTTAAAATACACACAATTCTAATTATTTTTGTAGATCATCAATAAATGTTATTCTTCGCCGACTTGACAAAACAATAGTTAAAATAGCTAAAAGGCCATCAATGCGTAGGAGTGCTGCTAATTGGGAAGCTGTTAGTTGTTGGTTAGCTGGACTATATCAAACTTTATTGCATTCCCCTCATATTGCTCATTTACATTCTTTGAAAGTAAATAAATTGATTTTAACAAAAATTTATTTTTAAATTTTATTTCAGACAATAACACTTTTATGTCTACGTCTAACACTTGGAGATACTTTAGGCCCCATAGAGGAACCTACAGGTCCACAACAGCCACACATTTCTACACCAGTTTATTCACATACTGTTTTAAATTCACATATTCCTCCTTCAATTTTTTGTTCTGTTGCTTTGAGACTTTTTACTGTTTGGGCAGAAAGTCAAAGATTGGGACATTTTGGAGCAGTTATTCTTTTAAGAATTAAAAAATATCTTTCAAAATATATTTTAGCAAGCATTCTCTTTGGAATTAATTTGTACATCAGAGGCTATTGGTCCTCTAGCAGAACGTCCTGAAGCACTATTCTGCCAATTTCTTATTCCGATGTTTTTGCGTGCAGCGATTCCTGGAAAAGGTAATATTATAGGCGACCAAATTAAATTCTTGTCCAAATTCAATTTGGCCGGCCAAATTCAATTCGGACGTTCAAACAAGATTTGAACAAGAGGCCACTGACATATAAATTTTATTGTGACCTAAACTTCAATAAAACTTCATTTTCAGCCTCCCCAAAATTTTATTCAAAAGACTTGCATTTCTGTCTTCATTTATTACAACAAGCTATCTGTCCTCCACTTGTTTCTAAACAAAGTGTTGTTCCAATGGCTGTGAGTGGAAGTAGTTTAGCTAATTCTTTAATGCGGGAAAGTACTACTGGTGGAGGGGGATTAGGTGGAGGAGGTATTGGTGGAATAACTGGAGGAGGAGGAGGAGGGAATGTTGGTGGTTATCGTCAAGGATCTGTTTCTGTTACAGAAAAAGGGGGATTTTCGGCAACAGTTTCAACGGCAAGAATTGTTCGAGATTCTGTTGCTTTGTCTGTTATTTTGGGTAGACCAATAAAAAATGATTTTTGAAAACATTTAATTTTTGTAGCTATCAAAACAATTGTTTTGTGTTTTCAAAAACAATTAACTGTTGCACATTGGCTCAGAATTTCTCGAATTGGTTAGTATGTAATGAAAGATTTTATTTATTTTAATTAAAAAGTTCGAGAAATGGTTGCAAAAAAATGTGGAGGGCAAGCACTTTGTTCTTTCCTCGAATCTATGATTTGCTCTAATTTACCCATTGCTGAAATGCTTCAACCATTAATGCAAATTCGTCTTAGTCAACGACCAGCAAACGATTTAGATGCTTCTTGGCAATCAGAAATGCGTGAAAGGCTTTTGACTATTAAACAATTAAAAGTAGAAGATTCTTTAATTATTTCAACACAATATTCTAATAAATTATTTTATTCTTCTTTTAATATTTTTTATCAATTACAAATACTTCGAAAAGAATTAATTTTATTGAGAGAAGATTTTTCTAATCGAAGTTTAGGTAAAAAAATAATTTTTTTGAATAGAGGGAAGGAAAATATTTAAAATTCACAGAAATTCCCCGTTCACACACTCCAACAATTGGCGGAGAAATTCATTCGGATTCGGGGAGTTCTGGGACTGGTACAAGAGAATCTCGACGTTTAAGTTCCTCTGCAGCCTTGGGAAAACTTCGTTGGATTCAGCCTACTCGAAGTGGAGGAGGAGGGGATGAAAAAAATGCAAAGAAGAGTCTTTCAAGTCAACAACAAGAAAATACTACAACAATTATGGAAATGGAAGAAACAATTGGGGATGATGGAGTAGATAATGCACCAACTACTTCTGGTTATTTTAAAGGAATAATTCTGATAATTTTATATTAGTTTAGCCAGTCTTTTATTGAAAAATAGAAAGAGAGTTTATTTTCTACCTTCTTTATTTTCTACTTTTTTCAGTCCAACGAGTAAACAAAAGCCCTTCGTTACCATTTAGTGCCCGAAGTTCAATGCTTCATGCAAGTGGTATTCGACGCAAAACACCTCCCACCCGTATGCCTAGCGCTGATTCATCAGCTACAACATCAGCAGGTTTAGGAAAGATTTCAGGAAAATTAGAAATGAGTGAAGTAAGCCGAGAATTGGGAAGACGTACAAAATCATTGAGAAGGTACTTGATTAATTATACAGTCGGATATCGGTTGTACGTATATGAATTTTATACGTCTAGGTTTTAGGACTTTTTCATCCCCAAAAATGTACACAACCGAGATCCGACTATAATAGTACTACCTATATTCTTATAAAATTTTAATTAAAGTCCCGGAGGAAGATTTGCAATATCTATGGGGGAAGAGTCTTCCAGAACTGTCCCTACAGAACCGTCAACACCCTCACTAAGTTCTTTGGCTCATGGAAGTACAGGAGAGAGGCCAAGAGGTGAAAATTGTTTTTTAAATAATTATTTTTTTCTCAAATAAAATTCCAACTAGAGGCTAAATCCATAAAATTTAATTTTAAGTTGTCTCTTTTTCAACACCACGGCATAGCAGTATATCTGAAACAATAAGTGAAGCAGATTCAGAAACAGAATTTTGTATTACATCTACTAAACATTTAATCTAAAATGAACGTTGTTATTATTATTTTTCGATTATTTTTGGTCTTAATTAAACTCAACCCTGTGAACTAATTAATTTTTCAACGAGAGGGTGGTTGCTGTGATATTTTCCAACTGGGAGTTAATTAAGTGAGAAAATAACCAAATTAACGAAGAAATTGTATACTAAGTGAGAGATACATTCTAAATACCCTAACTCATGTATAAACTACTGGGGCAGCTCCTCTCCCCTTTCGTGTCCAACCAAATTAACGAAAGTACACCAAGTTGAAATGTGGAGGTACCCCTAATTCCGGCTGTATTTCTCTTTTTTTAAATTTATTTATTAAATATTTTTCTATTTACAACAACAAAAATAAAATTATTCAACAGATTCAACAAAGCAAAATTATTTATATATTTTATCTTATGAAAATAAATTCTTCTCTCACTTCTAATTTCTTTACTTCTTTTGTTGTTTATCGTCTATAGTAGTAGTAGATGATTAGAACTTTTCTGAAATAAAATAAATTTTAATCAAAAATTATTCTAAAAACTAACCATTAGAACTTGGCTTTGTGGGCGAGCAAATAGTTTTGTTGAAGTTGCATGACATACTCCTTTTCCTCTCTCATCTTTCTGTACTGCTTGTACATGTAGAGAAGAACACCGAAGAGCACAAGAAACGGGAGAACAGTAAAAACAAACATAAAGCCGAGCATAACAAGACTGAACGAAACACCTGCAGCAGCACCAGCAGCACTTCGCTTGTAAGGAGCCATGTTGTTGAGAAAAGATTAGAAGAGCGGACAATTTTGTTGGGTTAAAATTTTAGAGTTCTTTTATAGTATTTTTTTATTTGGTTTGCAGCAGAAGCATTAAAAAAGGTTATTTAGAAATTTTTTTTATCACTTTGATTGTTAGTTTAAATTATGTCCCGAAAGTCAAATATCTCGAAAAATATCGATTCATAACCGGGATTTCTGTCGAGATCTCGTCTCGGTCCGGGCTCTAGTTTAAATCAATTGGTTTTCATAAATTTAATAGATTGAGAATATAATATGTAAAACGAACTAAAATTATTAGAATACAGTGAGATTTTTCTTTAATTTATTTTTTTCACATAAATTAACTCTCATTTTGTATATATTCGTTTGTGATCTTAGGATTTTTTCTTTTATCATTTTTATCACCGACATTACATTAATTAAATGTGAATTATCCTCAATCTAACTCATTTCGTATATAGTATGTACTGTATATATGTGACTTAAAATCCTAGATCTTAAAATCCTAGATCTTTTTTAAATATTTATCGAATACAGAATAAAAAGGAAAGGAGGAGTAGTCAAGTCAAGGTCGAGATTTCGGGACAAATTGTGGTGAATACGAGCGAAAAGGCTGAAAATAATAAAGAAATAGTTTTTAGCTTTTACTTATACTCTCACCTCGGTCTATTCTCCGACAATAAACTCAAAGGAATATCTTATCGTATATATATAGCAGAGTAAATACAAGCATGCAGGCGATGCACGAGTGGGAGGCTTTTGACTGATGGTTATGTTTAAGGCTTGTTTGCCTTAATCGTTATATTTCGTAGTCAAGGTCGGGATTTTGTAAATATTTAATTTGCAAAATTTCAGTTAGGTTTGTTACATCGTTTGGTATACTCGTTGCTATCGCATTAACATTTTTTCGTTTTTAAAAAAAATTGCAGCAGAAGCAAGCTTCGCAGGGATATTGGCTAGTTTCAACAAACGCGCGGCGAACGACTAACATCCGGTCACCCAGCCAAGGGTGAACCGTTAATCGTTTAACCGACCACCTCCTCAAGTGTATTTTTTCGCCACACTTCCTCCATTGGGAACCTTAAGTGGGTCCAAAGCCCACATAAGTGTTCCAACCTCCGACCGGGTGGACAGGCAATTATGTAACAAACCTAACTGAAATAGCACCATACCAGCACCATGCCATTGCGTTTTTGGACTAATCCCGTATCCCTCCACATGCAACCGCTGATGGGGGACATAGGAATTTTAATCATTTTATATATGGTTATTAATTAAAAATTAAATCTTCGATAGGTTGCAAATGAGGTGATTGTTGAGGTGATATGGGACAGTGAGGTTTGTCGCGAAATGCGACTTTTTTATTTATGTTTTTTTACCCTTTTGTCCCTTGTCTTTTTTGTTAAAAATATTTTTATTTTTAAAATTTTATTTTTAATCATGCGTAATCGAATACGCCTACTTCTTTCACATTCTTTCTCTTATTCATTGCACTTTGTATATTTTTTTCTATTTTTATGTTAATCCCTCCCATTTTTTCCTCTATTTAAACGTTAGGTTTTTAGGGTAAAATCAGAGTTTATTTAGTAAATTCTCAGAATTAAGAGTTATCTTTGAGTAAAGATTCTCTCGAGCTTTTCTTTGTAATAGATTTTGTTGAATAAAAGTTGTGTAACTTTTAGACTCGTTTTATTGTTTTATTTTAAAAAGAGTTGAACTTAGAACTTAAAGAATTTGATTTAAGTTTTCTAAGTTTAGAGTTCTTTGACTAAGAGTTAACTGTGTTTCATTTTGAGTTAAATTTGAGATTTCTAGAGATTTCTAGAATTTTAGTTATAAAGTTTAGATTGTAAAAAGATTTAAATAAATAAAGTTTATTGTTTGTGAAACATTTTAAATAGAGTTTTGAGTTAAGATATCTTCTCCTAAAGAGTTCTTTAATTTGATAAAGTTTCTTGTTTGTGAAACTAATTTGTTTACTCGAAAAGAACTCTCATTATTTAGCAAAATATTAAATATTTGTATTAATATTTTTTTATTTTGCGACAATTGGAGCCCCGTACAAAAAAAAGATAAAACAATTTGTTTTGTCAGAAATAAGTTGTTACAATTTGAATTGCTTCAGATAAAGTTATTTGTTAAAAAAAAAGTTCTCTAAAAAGTCTGAATTTATTGAGTTGTTTTATATAAATTTAAAGTAAATTCAAAGTTGATAAAAATGTCTGGACCATATAAGATTATGATAGGTGCAATATTAAAGCACTTAAGAATTAGGATGGAAAATGCTGAAAGAATTATGAATAAAAATGAAATTGATGATGATGAAAAAGAAACAGTTAAAAGTGATGGAAAATTTATTGTAAAAATTTTAAAAACTTTAGACGAAAAAAATCAACTTTGGTTAGACTTTATAAATGGATTAGATATTAATGAAAGAAAAAAAGAAACAAACGCATACGAAAATTTCAATGTTGAAAATAAACATTTCTATGAATGGTTCGAAAAAGGTAGAAAAATTGTTGATTCAATTGACGAAATAAGTCTTCAAAGAATTTCAGATATCTCTGAAAATAATTCGTTAGTAACACAGTTAAACCAAGTTGACCAAAGAGAATTAAATGTTGAATTGCCTAAACTTGAATTGCCCGAGTTTCATGGAGATCCTCATCATTGGATTTCCTTTTGGCAAAGTTTTGAATGTTCAATTGATAAGCAGAATTTTAGTAAAATAGATAAAATGAAATTTTTACTTAATTGTTTAAAAGGAGAAGCAAAAGATTCTATCTCAGATTTAATGTTAACGAACGAAAATTATGACATTGCAGTTAAAATATTAAAGGAACGATTTGGCGACAAAAATATTCTGATTGAAGCTTTAGAATCTGAATTATTTCAATTGTCCGTCTGTACAGAAAAAGCAATTTCATTGAAAAATACAGTCGATAAAATTGAAAAAATATTTCGACAATTAGAAAGTTTAGGAGAAAATACAAATAATTCGATTATGACTTCGTTAATTAAGTCAAAGCTTAATAAAAGTATTTTAATGGAAATTGCTAAAGAAGAAAAAGCTTCAAGTAAAAAATGGAATACTAATGAATTAAGAAAAGCTCTAGTTGGAATAGTTAATATAAGAGAATCAGTTTACCAAACGAGTAAACATTTTAATGTTTCACAAGCTAATAGTCAGTCAACTCTACAAGGGGAAAAGAGTCGAAAATATGAAAAATTTAATAATGATGAAGATAAAAAATCTGAGAATAATGACGAAATTAATGTAGTTAATCAGACTAGATCTTTTCCCGTGACTATAAATAGGAGAAATATTATTTGTTATTTTTGTAATGGAAATCACTGGTCCAATACTTGTAAATATGTTGCAGGTTTGGAGGAACGCAAGAAGCGTTTATTTGAACAGCGAAGATGTTTTCGTTGTTGTGCAAGAGGTCATATTTCAAGAATGTGTTTTAGTAAAAAATATTGTTTCTTTTGCAATGGACCTCATAATACTGCCATTTGTCATAAAAGGACAAAGTTTTTCTTAACCTATGGACCTAATAATGTTAAAATAAATTATAAAAACCGGAAATTCAAAAGTTGGAAAAAGAAAAGCTCAGATTGTAAATTTGTAAGTAAAAAGGTTGAACAACCTAAAATTGAAAATAAAGTTTTGGAAACGCAGAATTTGACAGTAAATACATGTACTTCTTTGTTAAATAATTCGTCGCCGAATTTAATGATTTTGAAAACAAAGGTTTTTTCACCAAGGAATGAAAATAAGAAAATTAGTGTTTCCATATTTCTGGATACTGGAAGTGAAGTTAATTATATTACTGACGAATTAGTTAAGAAATTAAATTTGCCAAAACGAAGTGAAGGTTTTCTAGAAATTTCTACGTTTCAAGGAAAAAAGTCAAAGAAACAACTTACTGGTAAATATTCGATTGGAATTGAAAGAAAAGATGGAAAAAGTGAAATAATCGAGATATTAAGTGTTGATAAAATATCAAACGAATTACAATCTGTTAGTATAAATGGGAATAATTCTAATGTAAAAATTAATGAAATAAAGAAAAATTTAACTAATAATTGTGTAAAACCAGACTTATTAATAGGAATAAAAGATTTTTGGAGATTTTTTAATGGAAAAACTGAAATTTCAAAAGGATGTTATTTGATAAAGACTACTATTGGAAATGTTCTCTGTGGTGAAAATCAGAGAAAATTGAAAAAGACAATGTCAGTCCAAACTCATGTAGTTGTTCACTCTTTTGAAGAGATGTCGAATAAATCTGATGTTAAATCCTGTCGAGATTTTGAAAATGTAAACGTAGAAAAGGATAAAACAGTTCAGAAATTATTAATTCCGTCAGTGAAACAAAGTAATAGAAATGATGAAGAAAAATATTTCTGTAAAGAAGAAATTATTTCAAGAAAGAAGCAATGTGCTAAAGTAAAGCGTAAAAATGTATTTAATAAATGTAAAGAAATAAATAAAGATTTGATAAAGTATTTTTTAAATATAGTTAAAATATTAGTCGTGCTTTGTAAAATGTTGATAATATTCAGTTTGGTTGATTTAAATTATAAATTAATATATTTAAGAGAAACCATGGATTTAAAAGAAGAATTAAATTTTCAAACTCTTGAATTTGATAATAGTAGGGTTGTAATGATTCCGAATTGTGAAAGAAGTAGACTAGAAATACCTGAATTAAATTTGAATTTAATAAAATATAGGAGTAAATCGAAAAGATTGGATTATTTAAAATTTGAAAAGGATATTAGAGATAAAAGATTAAAACAAAGCGATAAATTGTTTAAAACATGGATAAAGAGTATATCCTTAAAGAATAAAGAGAAACAAAACGAAGGATGCTTATGTTTAAGAAAGCTTGTGCACTGGTCGTGAATACTTTCTGCTTATGCTACGTGGAGGCTTTGGAAATGGATGCACCAACTCTAAATGTCCAGTGCTGAATATGAAAGAACAAGAAGAAGGGACTTAAAAGGATGAAGAGGATGTTTCAAAGAAAATTAATTTTAATCCTTTCATCTATTTTTTTGTTTTTCTCGCGCTCCCGAGTGTCGCGAAATGCGACTTTTTTATTTATGTTTTTTTACCCTTTTGTCCCTTGTCTTTTTTGTTAAAAATATTTTTATTTTTAAAATTTTATTTTTAATCATGCGTAATCGAATACGCCTACTTCTTTCACATTCTTTCTCTTATTCATTGCACTTTGTATATTTTTTTCTATTTTTATGTTAATCCCTCCCATTTTTTCCTCTATTTAAACGTTAGGTTTTTAGGGTAAAATCAGAGTTTATTTAGTAAATTCTCAGAATTAAGAGTTATCTTTGAGTAAAGATTCTCTCGAGCTTTTCTTTGTAATAGATTTTGTTGAATAAAAGTTGTGTAACTTTTAGACTCGTTTTATTGTTTTATTTTAAAAAGAGTTGAACTTAGAACTTAAAGAATTTGATTTAAGTTTTCTAAGTTTAGAGTTCTTTGACTAAGAGTTAACTGTGTTTCATTTTGAGTTAAATTTGAGATTTCTAGAGATTTCTAGAATTTTAGTTATAAAGTTTAGATTGTAAAAAGATTTAAATAAATAAAGTTTATTGTTTGTGAAACATTTTAAATAGAGTTTTGAGTTAAGATATCTTCTCCTAAAGAGTTCTTTAATTTGATAAAGTTTCTTGTTTGTGAAACTAATTTGTTTACTCGAAAAGAACTCTCATTATTTAGCAAAATATTAAATATTTGTATTAATATTTTTTTATTTTGCGACAAGGTTAGAGAAAGAAAAAAATTTGCACGCAATTAAAAAATAAATAAAAAGAAACAAAAAATCAGTCTGACCATTAACAAAACAGAGAAAGAAAAGTTGTGGTCAATATCACATAACAGAGAGGAGCTGAAGCGTGCCCGCATATTTTGCCAATTTCATAACTTGCCAATAAGGCTAAAAACCCATATCTTGCCAATAAGGGCAAAATTCCATATCTTGCCAAATCCATATCTTGCCAATACGGATCAAAACCCATATCTTGCCAATAATACTGAAACCCCATATCTTGCCAATAATACTGAAACCCCATATCTTGCCAATAAGGGCAAAATCTTTAAAACTTGCCAATAACTTACCAATCCGGAAAAATAATTCCGGAAATGGTTTCCGGAAAAATCTCGTAATCTAATAAATTATTTTATTCTTCTCTTAATATTTTTTACCAATTACAAATTCTTCGAAAAGAATTAATTTTATTGAGAGAAGATTTTTCTAATCGAAGTTTAGGTAAAAAAAATAATTATTTTTTTGGATATAGGGGAGGAAAATATTTAAAATTAACAGAAATTCCCCGTTCACACACTCCAACAATTGGCGGAGAGATTCATTCGGATTCGGGAAGTTTTGGAACTGGTACAAGAGAATCTCGACGTTTAAGTTCCTCTGCAGCCTTGGGAAAACTTCGTTGGATTCAGCCTACTCGAAGTGGAGGAGGAGGGGATGAAAAGAATGCAAAGAAGAGTCTTTCAAGTCAACAACAAGAAAATACTACAACAATTATGGAAATGGAAGAAACAATTGGGGATGATGGAGTAGATAATGCACCAACTACTTCTGGTGATTTTTTTTTCTTTTATTGAAAAATAGAAAGAGATTTTATCTTCTACCCTCCTTATTTTCTACTCTTTTCAGTTCAACGAGTAAACAAAAGCCCTTCATTACCATTCAGTGCCAGAAGTTCAATGCTTCATGCAAGTGGTATTCGACGCAAAACACCTCCCACTCGTATGCCTAGTGCTGATTCATCAGCTACAACATCAGCAGGTTTAGGAAAGATTTCAGGAAAATTAGAAATGAGTGAAGTAAGTCGAGAATTGGGAAGGCGTACAAAATCATTGAGAAGGTACTTGATTAATTATACAGTCGGATATCGGTTGTACTTGCATGAATTTCGTAATTTTAGGTTTTAGGACTTTTTTCATCCCCAAAAATGTACACACAACCGAGATCCGACTGTAATAAATATATTCTTATAAAATTTTAATTAAAGTCCCGGAGGAAGATTTGCAATATCTATGGGAGAAGAGTCTTCCAGAACTGTCCCTACAGAACCGTCAACACCCTCACTAAGTTCACTGGCCCATGGAAGTACAGGAGAAAGACCAAGAGGTGAAAATTGTTTTTTAACAGCTAAAATTTAAAATAAAAATTCTCCAAAGTCTAAGAATTCATATTAAAGTTGATGTTATAATTTTTGGGCAAAAATATTTTCTCAAATAAAATTCCAACTAGAAGCTAAATCCATAAAATTTATTTTTAAGTTGTCTCTTTTTCAACACCACGACATAGCAGTATATCTGAAACAATAAGTGAAGCAGATTCAGAAACAGAATTTTGTATTACATCTACTAAACATTTAATCTAGAAAATGACGTTGTTATTATTATTTTTCAATTATTTTTGGACTTAATTAAACTCAACCCTGTAAACTAATTATGGTTATTTAAATTCTTCAACGAGACGGTCCTCAGGCATTTTCTGTGTAATATTTTCCAATGGGAGTTAAATAAGTGGGAAAATAACCAAATCAACGAAGAAATTGTATACTAAGTGTAATTTTCGGTTAACAAAAAAAACCGAACTTTATTAAATACATTCTAAATACCCTAACTCAAGTATAAACTACTGGGGATATGTAGATAGCTTAGGCAGCTCCTCTCCACTTTTGTGGCAAGTCCGGCTGTATTTATCTTTTTTTTAATTTATTTATTAAATATCTTTCTATTTACAACAACAAAAATAGAAATATTCAACAAAGCAAAATTATTTATATATTTTATCTTAGGAAAATAACATTCTTCTTTCACTTCTAATTTCTTTACTTCTTTTGTTGTTTATCGTCTATAGTAGTAGTAGATGATTAGAACTTTTCTGAAATAAATTATTTAAATTAGAATTAATTAGAAAAACCAACCATTAGAACTTGGCTTTGTGGGCGAGCAAATAGTTTTGTTGAAGTTGCATGACATACTCCTTTTCCTCTCTCATCTTTCTGTACTGCTTGTACATGTAGAGAAGAACACCGAAGAGCAAAAGAAACGGGAGAACAGTACCTAAAAACAGAAGGCCAAGGATAACAAAGCTGACACTTATAGCAGCACCAGTACCAGCAGCACTTCGCTTGTAAGGAGCCATGTTGTTGAGAAAAGATTAGAAGAGCGGACAAATTTGTTGAATAAAAATTTGAGGGTTCTTTTATAGTAATTTAAAAGATTTTTTTAGAATTTTGATTGTTAGTTTAAAATATGCCCTGAGAGATCAATAGCTAAAAAAATATCGATTCATAACCGGGATTTTTGTTTGAAATATCGTCTCGGTCCGGGCTCTAGTTTAAATCAATTGATTTTCATAAATTTAATGGATTGAGAATATAATCTTCAAACTAACTAAAATTACATATTAGAATACATACAGTGACATTTTGCTTTAATTTATTTTCTTTACATCATTTACCTCTCATTTCGTATAAACTCGTTTGTGATCTTTGGATTTTTTTCTGTTTATCATTTTTATCACCGACATTACATTAATTAACTGTTAATTATCCTTAAATGTCTCGTCCTAACTTAAAATCCTGGATATAAATTTTAATATCTGTCAAGCAGGGAATAAAAAAAGAAGAGCGAACAGGCTGAAAATAATAAAGAAATAGTCTTTAGATTTTATAGTCTTTAGATTAGATTTAAGTTTCTGGACAATTGGTGTGAATACGGTCTAGTGGTTATATCAGGGATTCTGCCGTCCCGATTCCCGAAATCTATAATTCCCGACGTTTTTGCAATAATTGGTGTGGAAATGTGCCTTTAATAACTGGCGTTGAACCGTGAGCGCTGAACGAGCTGGCGCTGAAACCTGGGCACTGAATCGGGCGCCGAATCAATTCCCATCGGTTCCGTAAAGATTTTTTTAGAAAAACACAAACAATTTTTTGCCGACCTCTAGAAGCAACCATCTTTTACGTAATGGCTAAAATTAATCTGCAACGACAAATCGTCATTAAAGAAAAATTCACAAGAAGTTAGCGAATTTTTTTCATCCATGTTATGTAGCTGTTTTATTTGTTTTTTCTTGATATTTTCTTACCTATATCATTTTAGACGAAATTAATTTTATTTTTTTTAAATATTAAATGGCAAATTATCAACAACAACAAATTCAGGTTTTCTAAAATTAAAATTATTTTTAAAAATTAAAATATTTTTTTAGTCCTCTTCTACAGCATTTCCTCAATATTCACAAAACATTAGACAGACAAATTCTCAACAGAGTTTAGTTTTTTAATTAAAAGTTTAAAATTATAAAATTTTTTTAACAGAATTTTTGGGAAAAGAAAAGTTTTTTGGTGAAGGTGTCTTTTACTGGTCCCGAAAAAATGAGGAATAAATGCTTTTTTGATATTTTTGAGGGTTTTCATTGGGTAATCTATTGTGCAGAGTCCGAATCTGCGCTTGGAATTTGTTTATTTTGAACCCCGAACCCGAATTCGACCAAGTCGAATTCGGAGTAGAGATTCCAAATTGTTTAATTTAACTCGTCTCTTCGAGCTGAGTCAATTGCCATCAAAATTATTACGTTTCGCCAACTCGGGTTCAGCGTCGAAATAAAAAAATTCTAAGCTCAGATTCGGATTCTGTATACTCGATTACCTACTGGTAAACCTCAAAAATAACAAAAAAGTAAAAGACACCTTTACCCAGATTAATTGTTTTTTTACAAATTATTTGTCTTTAAAGTTAAACAATTTTAATTTTTCTATTTCTAAACAAATTCGTTTAAAAATTTTAAATATTTTTTAGCCAATCAACAACAACAACAGTCATTACTTCCAATTGAACAAAGAATTAATCCACTAGGTTTACCTCCACAAATGCTTATTAATTATGACAAACATTCAATTGAAACTCTTTGTACTTTGGGGAAAGAATTAATTTTGGAATTAATGACGAGAATGTTTACTATTGTAAATTAATTGATTTTTTGGGGGGATTTTTATTAAAAGAGAAGAGTTTTGGGTATTTTTTTGAACAACTTTTGATCGTTCACAAAATAACAATTTTTTCAAATTTTTGTCCTAAAAATTGTTTTCATATAAAATACCAAAATTCTTTTAATTTTTAAAATTAACTTTTCTTTTAAAAGGTCAGCACATTAAAATTAAATATAAAAGGAGAAAAATCTTTACCAAAAAACGATAATAATAATGTTGACAATGTTCGTCTTCAATTGGAATATTCTCGTCTTATATTTATGGCTTTGACTGAGGTTAGTTTATTTTTAATGAATCTAGAAAGAATTAAAAAATATGTTTAATAGGGGAATTTTTTGATAATTCTTACAGATTCTAACTTTTTTTTCTCTTATTTATTTCCAGTTAAAAATCTAGACTTTTAAGTTCCATACCAGGGCTGGGCGTAATGAAAAAATAAAAAGCGAAATGCGAAACTTTTCGCGCTAAAATTGCGAAACACGAAATTGCGAAATAAGCCCAGCCCTGTTCCATACCCTTTTATATAAAAAAATTTTTGATACTAAAATTTTTAAAACAAAAACCTCAACTATTTTTCGCAGTTACAAATATTTGTGCTTGATACCCAAAATTACTAATTTAACTTTTTAAAACAATTTTTAAACATTTTCTTTTTAATTAAAAAAAATATTTTTAATTTTTTAGATTCGTCTCCGAATTGATTTAAAATTATTTAAAGAATTAAAGACTGGCGAAACATTAAAAACTTGTAGGCCTTCAGACAAAGATTTAATTGAATTACTTTCCAATCCAAATCCTTTAGAAGAGGATTCACAAAAATTGGAAATATCCAAACAATTCGAAAAAAATCGTCAAAAATTGTTAAAAATAAATTGTGAAATGAAAAAATTGGAGTGGATATCAATTAATTCTGACCCGTCAATATTTACAATTATTGGAAATGAAAGTAATGAACAGAAGAAAATGTTGAATGAGGAAAGGGCTAAAAGTAGACAAAGTTGAGAAAATTTTAGAAAATGTTGTTAATTTTAAAAAATAAATTTTATTAATTTTTTGATATTTTAAAAATAATGAAAAATAGTTTCTGAATTCCTCTGAAAATTTTATTCGAGTTCTTAGTCACAAAGACGTCAGATGGAAAATATATGTATATTCTAGTATTCAAAATTCCCAACTTTCCTATTAAATTTTTACAAAAGTAGTGTCACTAGAAAAGTTATCAGAAAAATATATTTTTTCATATAATTAAGCTTAAATATCGATTTTGCTATCTTAATGGAAGCGAACACATTAATTTTTAACGTTAATGTTTTATTTATTAATTGCATAATATTTTTACATTCCTAAAATTATTTAAAAGGCTTTATTGAAATTAATTTAAATTATTTATAAAAAATTCTTTAAAGCTTATAAAATGTATAAAGATTTACTGGCCGGATATATTGCAGGTAAAAAACTGGGGTCAGCCCTGAAGACCTACAGCTTTTTGATCAAAACAATTTTTTACTTTTCATTTCTTTACAAGTCTAATCGGGGGATTTAGAGGAGGTAAAGAGGAACTAGGAGGGATTAGGGGGGATATCGAGAATTTTGAGTGTTAAAGTGGATAGTGATCCCCTTTAATCCCTCAGACTCACCTATTAAACTCGTAAAGGAAAAAAATAAATAATTTGAGTTGATCAAAAAGTTGTAGGTCTTGGGGGTGTAGGTCTTCAGGAGTGGACTCAAAAAATAAAATCAAAATATTTATTAATTTATAAATTCTATTTTTAGGAAGTTCCGGTACTTTAATTGGCTATCCATTAGATATATTAAAAACTCGTGTTCAATTAAATAAGAATTTGTCTGTTGGATTTACAAAAATTGCTAAAGAAATTTTACAAAAAGAGGGAATATTTGCTTTTTATAAGGGAATGGCCGCCCCTTTTATTTCTGCTGGATTAATTAATTCTTTACTTTTTTCTGGATATACAATAACTTTAAAAGAACTACAAAATAACAAAAAATCTGAAAAAGATTTTAAAACAATTGAGGTAAATTTTTTTTAAAAATTATTTATTAAAAATAGGGGACTGGCCCAAATAATATAAATTTTTGAAATTAAAAAAAAAATTAAATTTAAATAATTTATTAACTTAAAAATATATTAAAATAAATAAAAAGCTACAAGAATGGCTATCTTTCTAAATTAAAATGTTTTTCAGAATATTTGGGGGGGGGGGGGGGGGGTAATAAAAATTGTTGTCTAAAACTAGAGGCTATTTAAATATTGTCCCATAAAAAATAAAAGTTAATGACAGAAAACAATAAGTCTCTGTCGGGGTGTGTGTGTCGGGGATCGGGGTTTGCCGGGGAAGGCATGTCGGGTTTTCGGGGTCGGTTTGCTACCCTAGTTACACCTGTTAACAATATAATCCACCCCCCTTCCTGTTAGGAAAAATAGAAAGAAGCCATCCTTTCAAAGCCTAAAAAAGCTCAAAGTCTCAAATATTTTAACTCAAATCTAAAATTTATTTTCTTCATTTAAAATTCCCCCAAACCATTCTTCCCTTACCAATCTTCTCGTTTTTGTTGATTTTCTCTTCTTTGTTTCTCGTCTAAATAATTAATATATCGATGCCAAAAACCCTCAAAAGAAACAAGAGCATTAACTTGAGGATCAAACCAAGGTAAAGGCTCTGGATCTAGCGAGTGGAAGAAGCAAAAGTCCAACTAAAAAACTTTTTTAAATAGTAAAAAATAATTTTTATGAAAAGCCTCATCCCATCCCTAAATCTCTCCTCCCCCAAATTTATATAACCAAATTATTGGGTACAGCCTAAGTAGGCGCGCGCCATAACCTGCTTCAAGATTTCCAAATCTTAACAAATCTAGTATTAAACGATTCCTCTCATCAAGCTAAAGAGATTGATTCAGAAATTGATAAGAGCCAGAAATTTTCCAACAAATTATGGCTTTGCGCCGTTATGACCGCGCGCCTAAACGGCCGTATCCCCAGATTATTAACCCCAATAAAGAAAAACAAACTCTAAAATATTCACACATAATATCCAACACTTCAATAGCCTTTTCAGTCTTTCTTTGACTTCGATAAGCTCGCTCACGAAAAACTACTCCAAAAGTAGGATCAGAATCTCTATCCCAAGAGAACATTGCTTCTAAAAATTATTTTTTCTCTTAAATTTACAAAAAATTCTTTTTCCTTACTCAAAGATGGAGGTTGTAGAACAATATCAATCCCCAAAAATCCTCTTCCATGAGTCGATGTACACAAACTATTCTTTCCTTTTTTTAATTTTTCTACATTACAAGGTTTAAATTTATATCTAACAATTCTTTCCCGCATAACGTCTAAACTAGCTTTGTCTTTTGTTTTTGTCGAATAAATTTGGTCATGATCTCTATATTTGTCATTTGAAATTATAAATCCTCCAGTACATTTTGCATATTCTAATAAAATTAAATCGTCATGGGAATGGTCTGTTATTGTTCCCAAATAGCCAAGTTTCTGCATTTCCTTTTAAATTTTTTTTAATTTTTAAAATAATTCTTTTTTGACCCAAAAAATATTGTTAAAAATTATCCTTTAGAATTTTCGATACTATGCATTTAACAGCCCCAATTTTATTTTTTTCTCATTTTCCATTCGCATAAATATTACAAAATGTTTAAATATAAATACAATGAAGGAGTGATCTTCCAGTAGTGCATCTACCCTATGGTCCGGTACAGGCCCGTAGCCAGGGGTACTCCGGTACAGGCCCGTAGTCCCCTTTGGCCCCCCTCCCCCGAAAAAAATCCTGGCTATGGGCCTGGTCCGATATTGAGCGTTTGTCCCAAACTCTGGTTAAGTAACGCTTCTATAGCTTTTAAAAATTTTATGGGGATTTTCTTTTTTGGAGAAAGGAAAATGGGGGCGGGTAGGCGCATAGTACCAAATTTTCTTACAACAGAGTTCTGTCCATATTCTTATAAAAATTAAAAATAAAGGCATGTTTAGGCCTCGAATTTATTAATTATTGAGGGATATTATTTTCACTTTTGGAGAGGAAACAAATAAATTTTATCAAAATTAAAATAAACCTCGAGAATAAAATGATTAGCAACTTTTTCTCTATTTACTCCAGTCATATAGGAATCTGGAATATAAAGCTTCAAGTCAAACGTTTCCCTCAATAAATTCCTTGCTAACAATAAAACAGCAATTGCATCACATTTTCTGAAATTGAAAAAAAATTGTTTTAAAAAAATTAAGAATAAACATGATGACATTTTATCCCAAAAAGAAAAATTTTTTAGAATTTTTTTTATTATTCTCTCCTATAAATAAATTCGGGGTCACTTTAGTACGTGGGTCCCGGAGTTAATATACAAATGTTATACCATTCGAAAGAGCTCGTCGAGCTGAGTCGAACGCCACCAGTTTTAGCCCGAGGAAAAATTTTTGGACCGAGAAACAGGCGATTGAAAATCGAAAAACCATAGGGGGGACCAAGCACTTTTTTGGGGTGAAAAATTCGAAAATGCAAATGATACCTCATTCAAAAGAGCTCCTCGAGCTGAGTCGAATGACACCAAAATCAACAAAATCCGACTTGATTGGACCGAGATATAGGCCCCTAAAAACCGAAGATTCAAAGGGGCGATTTTTGGAATAAAAAATTTTTTAAACAAATAATAATTCATTCGAAAGAGCTCGACTAGCTGAGTCGAATGACACCAAAATCGCCGTGATTGGACAAGATTAGACAAAGTTATGACACAAAAAACCTAAACCTATGGAGCGTCGGCGAGGCGCTTGTGCAAAACCCCGCGCTTCGCGCGGGGTTTTGCGGCACGCGCCTCGCGGGGAGTCTACGGGCGCTGGGTCTGGGCTCGTAACATAAACCTATTCCTAATTCCCTTGATCTGGTCGTATTTGGGGCCTCTGTAGCAGCAAAAATCTCCACAGATGCCATAGGTAAGGAGCTAAAAGAAAAGATCATAACTTTGTCCAATCAAGTCGGATTTCGTTGATTTTGGTGTCATTCGACTCAGCTCGAGGAGCTCTTTCGAATGAGGTATCATTTGCATTTTCGAATTTTTCACCCCAAAAAAGTGCTTGGTCCCCCCTATGCTTTTTCAAATTTAAGGGACCTATATCTCGGTCCAAAAATTTTTCCTCGGGCTAAAACTTGTGGCATTCGACTCAACTCGACGAGCTCTTTCGAATGGTATAACATTTGTATATTAACTCCGGGACCCACGTACTAAAGTACAGCCATAAATTCTCAAAGACCACCACAAATAACTTAAAAATTAACTGATTATGTGTTTTTGCAAATGGACTCAAAAAAGCACATTGATGAATTAAATTTAAAGTATCAATTATTGCCAGTCTTTTTAATGCAGTTTTCTCAATTGGAAGATCTGTCTCTAAAAAATAAATTTAAGAAAAGTTTTTATTTTTTTAAAAAACCATCACAAGATTCTTCTGATGATAAAACCAATAAATCCTCATCTTTTGAACAACTTTGAATATTACTACAACTTGACATTTTCTGAACCTACTATATTTATGATAAAATTGTAGCCTCGGAACGTTAAAATTAAGCTAAAATAAAAAATGGGACAAAATGTCATTTTCATAAAATTCAAAAAATCGCTAAATTAAATATTTTTTTTGCGGAGATTTGTCTCTTTAAAATTATGTAATGGACAGATCTCGTAAATAGAGATCGGTAAAATCGCATTTGCAGGATCCTGTATCAGGATTGGGTTTTAAAATTTCGAAAAGGACAGGATCCCGCAGGATTAATCCTGAAAATCCTGGAATCCTGTAACTGAAAAGAAGGCAGGATTTCGGACAGGATCCTGAAAAATCCTGTGCAGGATCCTGTCCTGTGCCGATCTCTACTCGTAAAGAGATTGGCTTTAAAACTTTTGAGAGGGTCGAGATGGTCCGAAAATCCAAATATCTGAACAATTCAAAAATCTTGCCGTTGAATGGTTTATAATGATTGAAACAATTTAAAAAGTCTAATGAAAATTAATATATAAAAATTTAAAGAGATTTTTATTTTTAAAGATTATTTTTGCTTCAACAGTTGGAACATTTTTTCAAATAATTCCAGCAATTCCAATTGAATTAGTCAAGACTAGATTACAGGCAAATATTAACTAACTAATTTAATATTTAAATTCAGACTATAAAATTAAATAATTCACTAAAAATTAATGGTCCTTTGAGTTGCGCTTTAAATATTATCAAAGAAGAAGGTTTAATTGGACTTTATAGGGTAACTAATTAAATAAAATATTGTTTTATTAATAAAATAAAATTAATTAGGGAGGGACAATAATGTTTTGGCGTGATTTTATTGGTTATCTATTTTACATTCCTGTTTATGAATATTTTATTAAAAATCTAAAAAATTTACAAAAGAGAAAAAGCTCTACAATAAATGAGGATTTTATTCGAGTATGTAATACCGTAAATGTTCCAATAGAAGCCCTGGGCGTCTATTTTTCAAAGGGTATCACTGAGTGGGCTTCTATTAGGGCATGGGCTTCTATTGGAGCCGGGCTTCTATCGGAACATTTATGATAACTAAATTTATATTATTAAATATTGAATAAAAACCAAATCAAGCCAATAAAATATTTTTAGTTATTAGCTGGTGGTATAGCTGGCTCCCTTTCTTGGTGGATTATTTGTCCACTTGAACTTTTAAAAAACAGGCTCCAAGCTTTTCAACAACACCAAATACCTCTTCAAACACGTTATCAATATTGGAAGATATTTTTACAAGTTTTTGAAGAAGGTCGGGTAAAAGGAGGAAGTTTTTTATATGGAATGAGTACTTTCTATCGTGGGGGTACTTTACTTGCATTAAGGGCATTTCCAGTGAATGCTTGTGTTTTCTATGTTCATTCAAAATGTTTGGAATTATTTTTATAACAAAAAAGATTAATATTTTTGAAGATAAATACATACTAATTGGTAAATGCCCAGTTTACTATCCACCTGTATGCAAAGGAAATGCGCATTCCCCTTCCTTTCTTGCATTCTTGCGTTAGTGGCATTCGCTCATTTTTTGCAAGTTATAAAGATGAAAAATTGTGAAACATTCTCTGATCTGTGGATAACGGCTTTAAAAGCTTAAAAAACTTAAAAAGCGAATTTGTGTTAATATGATGAAAAGAATTCGCTCTCGATGATAATGAAAAATTCGAAAATAATTCACACTCGGGCATTATGATTATGGTAATCTCCGGTTATCTCCCCGTACATCATTTCCTTAACTTCTCCTTCATTCTTTCTACTTTCATAAGGCAGGTCGATAGCAAACCGGACATTTGCCATAATACTAATTTTAAATTTATAGTTAAATTGATTTTTATTGTCAGATGATTATTTCTCGTTGAAAAGCATTTTTATTGTTAAAAATTGTAAAAAATTTTTTTTTAATACCTACATATTTGCTAAAAATGGGAAAATTATGAAATAGTTGCAAAAATTCTAAAATACATACTTTCAGGAATAAAACGATGTATTACATTGATCATTCCCCAAATTCCCTGATCGTTAACCTTAAAATCACTTGATATCCCAGATATCACTTTAAATCCCCAGATATTTCTAATTCCCCAATATCTCCCTCAACCCCTCTTGATTTTTCCATATCACACCAAATCCCTCAACATTCCCTTTAAGTTATAAACACACTTTTTTCGTTATAACGCTTTCGAAATAGTGCAATTTTTTCGTTTTGTGAAAGTGAAATAATTCCGCGCGGTTTTTTGAATCACCGCATTACGTACGTAATTAAACGTTGGCCCCTTAAATGCTACATATAAAAGAACTTTTAAATATTATTTCCAAAAAAAATCTCGACAATATTCTGTGTTCTCTTCTAAACTTCTCAACAATATGGCCCCATACGATCGAGAAGATAATGCTGCTGCAGGTGGTTCGCTTCTTGGATTAGGCATGGTGCTTCTTATTCTTGAATGCCTTCCCTGTATCTTATTCTGTGTCGCTGTTGGCGGAACTATAGGTGTCGTCGCTTACTGCATCAACAAAAGCAACAGAGAGGAACGGGAGAATGCCATGCGGATCCAACAAATGGTTATCCAAAGGTCAAATTCTAATGGTTAGAATTTTTAATTAAAAAATTTTTTTACTAAAATAATTTTCGTTATTTTCAGTAAACGTCTAATCACTACTATAAACAATAAACGAAGTAAAGAAATTAAAAGTGAGGGAAGAAAAATATGTAGTTTTCCTAAATAATTTTGTTTTGTTGAATCTGTTGAATATTTAGTTATTTTTGTTGTTTATTGTAAATATTATAAATAAAAAGAATTGTTGGTTAATTTTAAGGAAAATGATTAGGGAATTTTACTACTAGAAAAGGATACCCTCCCCTTTGGATCCCCTAATTTTTCCCTTCAGGCAATATAAGTGAAATATACGTGGCGGAAAATCACTTCAAAAATATGAATTCTGCAATCAAACAGTTTTTGAAGAAATCTTGAAAAAAATTTTATTCTTGATACAGAATTTACAGTTCGCTTAATTTGTAAACTACAAATAAAAATTAAGAAATAATTTTTAAATATCAAATTTTTGTTTTTATTTTTTATATGCTTATCTGCCTTTGTTTAATTATTAAAATTTTTTTTATAATTTTCATAATTGATTTCAACAAAATTTTCTGAGAGGAGAGTTTGTCAGTCATTTTCTTCTCTTATTTCTCTCACAAACAGAGCTGCGCGAAACAAAAAAATCTTCGAAAATCAGAAATCGAAAGGTGTTCTTCTCTACATGTACATTCAATACAAAATAATGAAAGACGAAAAAAGGATGTTTTGCAACTCCAGCAAGTTTATTTGGACCGAAAGTCGCAATCTAATGGTTGGAGTTTTTAGTTAATTTTTTAATTTAAAATTTTATTTTAAAAAAAGTTCTAATCATCTACGACTATGGAGAATAAAAAAAAAAGAAATGAGAAGTGAGAGGATAAAGAATGTTTTATAAAATAATTGGAAAAATTTCGGAATACTAAACAGAACGCAAATGGGTCAAACTATATGTCATTCGAAAGAGTTCGTCGAGTTGAGTCGAATGGTGAAAAAATTTTCGTGCGGACTCATACAGGGGCTGAGATATAGGCCCCCGAAAATCGAAAAACCATAGGGGGGACCAAGCACTTTTTTGGGGTGAAAAATTCGAAAATGCAAATAGTAGCTCATTCGAAAGAGCTCCTCGAGCTGAGTCGAATGACACCAAAATCATCGTGATTGGACAAGTTTGGACAAAGTTACGATCGAAAAACTAAAACCTAAACCTATGGGGCGTAGGCGAGGCGCTTGTGCAAAACCCCGCGCTTCGCGCGGGGTTTTGCGGCACGCGCCTCGCGGGGAGTCTACGGGCGCTGGGTCTGGGCTCGTAACATAAACCTATTCCTATCTCCCTTGCTCTGGACGTATTTGGTGCCTCCGTAGCAGCAAAAATCTCCACAGATGCCATAGGTAAGGAGCTAAAATAAAAGATCATAACTTTGTCCTATCAAGTCGGATTTCGTTGATTTTGGTGTCATTCGACTCAGCTCGACGAGCTCTTTCGAATGAGGTATAATTCGCCTTTTCGAATTTTTTACCCCAAAAAAGTGCTTGGTCCCCCCTATGGTTTTTCGATTTTCGGGGGCCTATATCTCAGCCCCTGTATGAGTCCGCACGAAAATTTTTTCACCATTCGACTCAACTCGACGAGCTCTTTCGAATGACTTATAGTCTATAAAGGACAGACAGTCTATAAAAGGACAGACAGACGGACACTCCTCTCAACTATATAATTAAATGGCCCAGTACAACCGAGGAGATGCTGCTTTGGGTGTTGCGGTTATTGGTATTATGTTTGCATTTTTTATCCATTGCTGGTTGCCCTGTGTCATATGTTTTGGCGTTATAGGTTTCGTCGTGTGCATTATCAACAAAAATGTCATAGAGGAAAGGGAGAATGCCATGCGGCTCCATCAAATGGCCATCCAACAGTCAAATTCTAATGGTTAGAATTTTTAATTGAATTTTTTTATTAAAATAATTTTCTTTAATTTTCAGTAAACGTCTAATCAAAACTACCACTATAGGCGATAAACAATAAACGAAGTAAAGAAATTAGAAGTGAGGGAAGAAAAATATGTAATCTTTTAAAATAATTTTGTTTTGTTGGATTTTGTTGTATATTTGTTTATTTTGTTGTATATGTATTTATTTTTGTTGTTTTTTGTAAATTTTATAAATAAATAAAAATAAAACATGGAATGATGTTTTTGTTTTAATTCTTTAAATGTTCCATTAATTTTGAATCAAGTTTGAGCCCTAATTGTTTTGTGTTGCCGGAAGGAGCGCCAAATGTTGAACGGGCGATTTAGATAAATGTTTTTGAATATTCTTTCAATTTTTATCCAGGAGGAATGTCGAAATTGTTCCAATTAAATATCTAGTGTTTAGAGGGATGTTTTGTCAAAAGTATGGATTTTGTGATATTGTCAATGACTTCAGACTTTTCTTGTGTTTGTTTTAAACTTGGGCAGTAGTGAGTATTTAACGTTTTGTGGCTCGACTCTATTGATATCTGGGTTTTAGATCCAAAAGCGGTCAGGGCTATCTCCTATTAGTGCCACAGACGAAAATTTAGAGAATTTTGGAAGGCCAAGAAGCCAGATTTCTTCACTTTTTAGCGCCGAAGCCAAAAATATCTGAAGAAAGTCTTCATTCGGAACAATGATTGAAGATCATTAGAAATCGGAAATTTTATCAAATTTCGAAATTAAAGCAGCTAGGCTATAGCTATTTCTCTCCTTTAGCTAGTGCAAAAGGTTAATCGACAACCAGCATCTTCAGTAGACCGGACCGATGTGTTGGTTATTACACCGCACTTGTTTGTGGTGAAAGTCAATGTTGTTAACCACTAGGAATTAAATAGCTATATGCTTTACAGAAAATCGGAATTCGACAATCAAATGAAGAAAAACGTCGGGAGTCAGTCCTTTGGAATGTAGTATAGTAGTAGAATGAAAGGATATAATACACTCCTAAAAATATGTAGGTATTTAAACTTTGGCCTTAACCCAAACAAAATTTTGTACTATAAAAGAACGAAATTTTATTCAAAAAATATCTCCTCAATATTCTGCTGCTCAGTTCTAAACTTCTCAACAACATGACCGATGAAGACTACGACAGTGGAGGGAATGCTGCTGCAGGTGGTGCGCTTCTGGGACTTGGCACGATATGGGTCTTCCTTATGTATCTTCCCTGCTTCTGTTGTTGTGCTGTTATTCTCTACATGCTTGTGCAACACAATAAGATCAAACGGGCAAAGGCTGAGGTCGCGCTACTTCAACAAAACTATATGGCCAACCAAAGTCCCAAGAAATGGTTAGTCTTCTTAATTTTTGATTAAAATAAATTTTATTTTCTTTTAGAGAAGTTCTAATCATCTCCGGCTATAGACGATAAACAACAAAAGAAGTAAAGAAATTAGAAATGAGAGAAGAAAGGATGTGTTTCTTGATGATAAAATATATATAAATAATTTTGTTTTGTCTGTTGAATATTAATTTGTTTTTGTTGTTTGTTGTAAGTGTAAATAAATAAAGTATTGTGGAATTAAGTAAAGCAGCTGGGCTATTTCTCTCCTTTAGCTAGTTCAAAAGGTTTTTCGGCGGCTGGGAGCGAACCAGTATCTTCAGTAGATCGGACTGATGTGTTAGCCATTACACCACAACGTCTCCTGCACAGCCATAGGAATTAAATGGCTAATATGCTTTACAATTGGTAAAGAGTTTGTTGACTTTTAATAATTATTTAATCAGTTTAACATTTTAATAGTAGGAGAATGAGTTGTTTTAAGAAAGTATAAGTTGTAAAAAATAAATTTAAAATTTAATTTCAATAAATTCATTTAAACAAAAACCCCATTTAATTTTCCATTATTATTCTTAATTTAACTATAACTATTTATCAAAGCCTGTTTTAAAATAAAATTTTGTTATTATTTGGTAAATTAAACATTTCATTAAAAACTTAAAGCTTTAGATAAACAATAATTTATTTAAAATTCACTCAGTAAAAATGATATTTAGTCATAAAAATCAAAGCAAAAATCGAGTGATCGGTTGTGAAAGAAGATATGAATTATATACATAAAAGCTGGGGCCGTGAAATAAGAACTCGGTCACCTAACAATGGTTACCTAACCATCGTTAGGTAACCACAAGGTCATTGTAAACCGGTATTTTACGGGCCCAGATGTTTGATTGTTTATATTTTAACAATATTTTATTATAAAAATTAATAGTAAAATTTATAAAACATCGGGCAAGTAAAATTAAAAATTAAAAGAAGAATTACATAAACAAACAAATTTACAGATAAAAAAATTTTGAGGTTTATCAAAAAAATAAATTTAAAAATATTTAAATACATTAAAAATTAAAGAAAAACCCGATATTACCCTTTAACTGATTTTATTAAAATATACAATCAATTCTTTGATAAAACTAAAATAATTTGAAAAGAACTTTTTAATGTTTTATAGTTAACAGTAGAGTTGGACAAGTCGAGATCGATATCGATATATCGGTCTTTTTCCAATATCGTCTTTTTCCAATATCGATATTTTTTTTTGGTCTTTTTCTATAACATACGATAGTATGTTCATGCTGTGGAAAAATTGTGGATGGGAGATGGAATTGAACCATCAAGGAATGAGCCCAGGGCCCTATTTCAATTGTCCACAGATTCTGCGGTCTGCGTTCTGTGCACAGACCACAGAACCACAGAAATTCTGTTTCAATTATTCCACAGATTCTGCGGAAAAAGAAGTCCGCAGATTCTGTGGAAACATGCACAGAATCTGTGGAAACATCCACAGATTCTGCAAAACATCCAAAAACATGCAAAAACCACAGAATTCTATTTCAATTATTTTTCTGTGCACAGAAAAAAATCCACAGATCTGTGGCTTTTTTAGTCGATTCTGTGCATTTCTGTTTCAATTATTTCTGTGGTCTGCGGAAAATACACAGAATTCTTTAAAAAATCCACCCTAAAATTTTTTCTGCGAACTTTCTGTGGAAAAACTTTAACAATTTTTTTCTAGGCCTAGGCTTAACCAAATTTCAAAATTTTTAAAGATTATTAAAGTTTGAATCATTCTCTATTTTTTGATATAAAAATTATAATTTTATTACCTAAAATTATTGCTTAAAATTAATTTTGAAAAAGGTACATCTTTTTTACGCAGTTTTTGTTATATTCAAGCAATAAAAAAATAAAAAACGTGAGAGATTCTGAAATTTAGAGCTATGATGTTCTAATCATCATGGATATCTCTAATGAGGGGATGTTTACCAGGATCTATAGAAGATATCTGTATAGCGTATACTGGGATATCTCCCATGATCTCTCATTGATATCCGTCATAATCTCTCCTCCTATTTAATGATAGATTTCCTCCTTAATCACTCCAATATATTAAACCTCAAAATCAATGGATATCCCACTTAATCACTCCTCTACGATTTTAAAGTTCCGATTTGACTATAATTTTGGATTCCAGGCATTTTCGATTTCCAGGAACCTCAATTTCTGACTAAACAATCCCCAGTTTTGTAACATTTCCCTCCCTTGCAACAACTTCTATCGTAGTTTGAAAAAGCCACATGTCGGATCGACATCTCCTGATTTTTCCGATCCGAACCCTGCTTTAGGACATTAATTTAATTGGAGATTTAAGGATATTGGATGAACAAGAAAATTAAGCGGTATATCAGCGGTTTTAAAGTGATATCAAAGAGATTTAAAGGGATGTTATGTGATTTGGAGGGAAAATTTTTAAATCTTTACAATATTTTTCAGTTTAATTTAAGAATTTTTAAAGTTTTACTTCAAAAAATCAGGTACCATTAATACTGCGGTAGTACCGAACTGTCCAAACCATTTTTCGTTTCAATAAAACTGTTATTTTCAAAAACGCGGAAATAAAAAATTTGAATTTAGAAGAAAAAATACACAGAACCACAGAAAAATAATTGAAATACAAATTCTGTGGATCAGTGGAAAAAATCCACAGATTTTTATATTTTCCACAGAAATTTTCATCCACAGAATCTGCGGAATGTTTCCACAGAATCATTGGATGTTTCCGCAGAATCTGCGGGCACCACAGATTCTGTGCACACAGAATTTAATTGAAACAGAATTTCCACAGAATCTGTGTTCTGTGCACAGAATGCAGAATCTGTGGACAATTGAAATAGGCCCCAGACCGAAGCACAACCGACTGTGCCACCATCCAACCCGATGCTGGGTTATTTATTTTCATTTATGTTCTTTCTGCAAGTGCGGACACAACATTTTCTTTTTCCAATATTTTAATAAAATCAGTTAAAGGGTAATAATATCTTTTTCCAATATCGATATCGGTTTTATAGATATCGATCTCGAAATCGATACCGATATATCGACCCAAATATCGACCGATATCGATATTAACTTTACACCCCTAAAGATTGCTTTTTTTCTAAGAAATGGAAGAAATCTGACCACTTGCCCTTCCGAAATTATAAAAATTTTCGCCTGCGGCGCTGTAAAAGAAAGAAAAAACCTTAACTTTCGGAATTGCCTTAACTTTTCCTAACCCCTAGATCTGGAAATATGGCCGATATTTTAAATGGGGGATATCAAGCTTCTTGGCCTTACGAAATTATCAAAAATTCGCTTTCACCGCTGTAAGTAGGATCGTCGCTGTAAGTAGGATTTATCATCCTCTAGGATCGTCACGGGTTGAGATAAAAATCCGAAATAAACTATTTAGGTGTAACAAATGATACATGGGATTTGGGAAGATTAGAATGGATATCAAGCGAAGATTTTGATTCAGGGTCCTGATATCCGTGGATTTCAGTTCGGTATTGGATCCGGATAAGGTGTAATTCGGATCCGGTTCCGGTAGACCAGAAGTTCCGGGATTTTTTGTTAAACATTTTTCTCTGTTCTCTTTAGGTTAGTATTAAGGTTAGTATTATTATTTCAATGAATTTTCTGGATTTGAGGGGTAATAAAAATTTTTTTTTAAAATATTGGTTAATATCGAATATCGATCTCGATATCGACTCAAAACTTGCATATCGATATCGATCTCGACCATGTCAATATCGACCAATATCGATATCGGTTTTCTCCTAAAATATCGATATCGTCCAACTCTAGTTAACAGGGAGAGAATTGATTGTATAGATATATGTGGTTTTGGATATGTTATTTATTTAAAATTAAAAATGATATGAAAATATTAAATTAGGATTTTTGAAGGAAGTAGAATTGTTGTTTAAAATGTAATAAAAAATTAAAATATTAAATTAACATTTATTTAATTAAAATATAATATTCTTTTCTAAAATAGATAAAAAATATTATATATAATTCCAATAGTATTTTACATTTAGATATATTTAGTAGATAAATTTACAACATAATATTTATGCGAATTAGACATCAATTAGAATATACATACTAGAGATCGAGCTGGATCTGGATCCAAACCTTGATTTTTCCTGGATCAGGAGAAAAGATCAAATCATTTTTCAGCGTTCCCTAATTTTTCCTTGACTAAAGGTCAAGAATCTGGTCAAGGTCCTTACTTAAAATTAAGGTCAAGGTTTTTTGAAAATCTCGATCTCTAATACATACTGCTAAATTAATTAAAAAAAATAAACAAATATTAAAATAAAAATATATACATATCACATATAAATTGGCCGAAAAAATATAATTATGTCAATTCGATTGTCATTAATTTAGAAAAAATTAAAAAAGAATTATCATATTTTTGATAGAACAGTTAGAGATTTATTTATAGAATTTAGATGTTTAAAATAGGGTAGCACCCCGTCCCAGTACGAATTTTTAGGCAAAAATCCCGACGCGGCCCCGAAGACTACCCTGACAAATCCCGATCCCAGATGATCCCGTCTCCGAAGGCTCGTGGTGCTACCCTAGTTTAAAATTAATTTAAAGAATTTAAAGTCCAAATTTTAATATAAAAATTTAAAAATTCAAAATACTTTTCCAAATATTTTTTAGAAAATATTTTTAAATTAAAGAAGCAAGTGTTATAAATTAATTGTAATTTAATAAAGAATTTATTACCATCCCTGTCCCATTTTCTTTTGGTGTTTCTACTTGTCCAATTCTGAATTTTTTCAGTCTTTGAAGTACTTCTACAACCGAAAGACGTTTTTGTGGATTTCTGTGCCAGCATTCTTTCATTAGATCTGCCAATTCTGGTTTACATTTTTCTGGCACTTTAGGTCTCATTCCACTTAGAACAGCTATAATAACTTCATCATCTTTAAGTGGATCAAAAGGTTTTGAACCAAAAGAAAAAATCTAAAATAAATAAAATATTGTTATAAATGGATGTAGAGACAAAGAAAGGAGACACCTAGACATCCCATTCTGCCCAAAAATTTAATATTTTCCATTATAGACTTGACTATAAAGCCTTTGAAATATTGTGAAAATGATTCACTTAGCAGATTTAAAACGCTTAGGCGGGTTAAACGATCATAAAAAGGGAAAAAAGCATTAGTCGTTGCGCAGGTAGCGCAACGACTAATGCGTGTGCGAAAGCACCATATGTTGTGTGCGAGAGCACCTAGCAATAACCACATATGAGGAGGTCGCAGGTTCGAATCCTGGCCGGTGGCTAAACTTTTGCTATATTTACCTCAAAGAAAAGTACTCCTAACGACCAAATATCAGACTGTGAAGTAAACTTTCCATTAGAAAGACATTCAGGTGCCATCCAACTAAATAAAAATATTAATTTATTCTCTTTAAAAATAACAAAAACTAACCGAACAGGTAAAGCCTTTCTTCTGTCCTGCATTTTGTAATAATCAGCAGAAGCATATAATCTTCTTGACATACCAAAATCACCAATTTTAACACAAATTGGGGGTCGAAAAGCTGCAGAACTACATCTCATATCGGATTCACCAGAAACAAGGCAATTACGTGCTGCTAAATCTCTGTGAACTATTTGTTGGCCAGCAAGGTAACAAAGACCTTCAGTTATCTACAAAATTATGTATGTAAGTATTGAGGAAAAAGGGATGGAAGACAATTTTTATTTTAATACTTTTGACGGTTTTACAATTAAACAGATAGTTTAATCCATTTGGAGGATATTCAAATAACTAAGTTGTAAGTTTATGTTTTCCGAATTAGTCAGGGCAAAAAAGTAGAAAATTTTTATTCAACTAGGAATTTTCAAAACTATTTTTTGCTTCCATTAAAGTGTAAAACGTTATCTTAAATCTGCTAATTTATTTATCGGAACTTGAATTTTTTAATTCTCTGGATTTTCACATAGGTAATTGTTATTACTCGTGAAAAACTAACTAGTTAAAAGTAATCTCAAAAAATAGTTTTTCTAAAATTACTTAATTACCTGTATACAAATATCAATCAATTCATCATTAATTAAAGGTGGAGGAAATTGTGTATAGCTAGTACAACAAGGCTTTCTATTATATAAATAATTACTAAAAAATATTTTTTTTTATTTTAAAATCTTCCATCCAAAAAATCACCGTAAATCCCCTAAACTCATCAATTCCAAAACTAGAGCAACTTGTCCTCTCCATTGTGCAACCCCAAACATTTTTAAAACGTTAGGATGTTCTAAATTAGCTAATAAAGCTGCTTCTCTTTCCATTTCTGCATCTATTTGTATATTTATTAACATTTTTATTGCTACTTTTTTTTCTTCAAAAATATTTTTATTTTCTTTTAAAGAAATCATTGGGTGATCTTCTTCTTCTTTTTCTTCTATTGTTTTTGTTGATAATAATTTTTTGTATCTCCATTTAGCAATATAAACTTCGCCAAATGCACCCTAATAAATTTAAAAGGTTTTTCGAATGTCGGATATTGAAAGGGAGGTAAACAAAAAAATTTTTTTGGTTTTTATTAGGACTAATAAAACCAACATAAAGGGTATTGGCTATTAAATTTTGGTTTCCTATATATTATTATAAAGTCAGTAAGTAGCAGAGGTGGGTCGGGATTCCAATTTCCGACGTTTTTTTCCTTCCGACTTTTGAGCCAGTTCCGATTTCCAGCTCTTCTGATTTCCGACACCTCTAACTGTTCCGACCCACCTCTATTAAGTAGTTCATTGAAAAGATTTCTCAATTTTCTAAAAATCCTCGGTTCTTCGATCCAGAACCGAACCCACAACCCCTTATTTGTTTATTTATTCATTCACCTTGCCGATACATTCGTTTAGCTGTAAATCATCTTCAGAAATTAAAGGTAAATGTAATTGACTTTGAATATAATTAGAAAGTGAAAGAGTTCTTGACATTGTATCTAATGGAATACTTCTGAAAGTAAATTAAATTATTTTTTTTAAATTTTAAAAATTAAACGTTTCTTCAGTTCTTTGCGTATTTCGACTTCCTCGACGAAAATTTTTTCTTTTTAATTTTTCTCTAATTTCAATTCGCTGTTTAAATTTCCAAATAGTTCGCCCACAAATTGTAAAAACACCGACAATAAATAAAATTGGAGGTATTGAAAGTAAAATACTTAGAAAGGATGGAGAAGATGAATTATGAGCATTTTTGCCAGTAAACAACTAAAAATATGAAATGTTTTTTAAATGAAAAATTATTAGTGAATTTTGGTTTGGAAAAATCGGAAGGATATATTTCATTGGAATTACAAAAAATAGTCAGGACCCGTTAAATGATAACAAACAAATTATAGCATAGGCTAACATACCGTATTTGCTAAAATAATTACCCAGGGTAATTATTGTTTCAATCTCTTGCTGGAGAGAGTAATTAATAGGGAAGGGTAATTATTCAAACTTTTTAAAGAAAAGCTAATTATAACTATTTTTAAGGGGGTAATTATTTTTCCCTCGGCTGAAGGGGGTAAGTATTTGAGAGAGGGACATTATTTCAGCATATACGTTAAATCCCAAAAAAGCAACAATTTTTTTTGTTTTTATTAATCTAGTTAAAAGTTAATAAAAAAGATTTTAAAAACAAAATTCTCCTTAATTTCCACTATCTATTAAATCCATATTTTTTTAAATAAAATTTACCTTTATATTAGAAATTGGATATTCTGGCGGCATAATATTTAAATTGCTAATTAAAATACAATTATCAAAACTTTTATTCTTTCCAACACAAATATTAAAATCATAAAATCCCCCTTTTTGTGAATGATTGCAGTTTGTACATTCGTGTATTGAAAGAGTAAAATAACGAATAAAATAAGAGGAATGAGCAATTTCTGGTTTAATAGTTAATGAATTGTTGAAGAGTAAATGGACATCCTCTCCAGAATAACTTTAAAAATTAAAATTAAATGAAGAGATTTCTAGTGTATTTTATTCAGTTTTAAACTAAAAAAATTATTTAAAAAATTTTATAGTCTTAAAAATATTTAAATTATAAATGCCAAAACTATTTCTAACCAAAATAAGAAACAGAGAGTTTAGCAAAAGTCTAGCTACCGGGCAGGATTCGAACCTGAGACAACGCTGACAGTGATCGCTCGGCTTTGCTCACTCACACAATGCTTTCTCCTTTATTCGTTTAGTTCGTTAAACCACCGTGAATTTTTACAAACCCCAAACAATTTGCTAGACCCAAATCTCTGTCAGAATCAGGTTTCAACAAAAACATAATCTTAGAGCTTGGGGATTTTTCAGAGAATTTCAGGTCCCGATTTTACAGTCCCCAAGAAATTGTCAAAAAAATAATTTCAAAAACAAATTTAAATATTGAAAGTATTCTTAACTTAAAATAATCTAAATAATAAATCAACAATTTTCCTCAATATTACCTTCCTCCTTCTAACAATCCTTTGCTATTGACCTCCTCTTCACCGCCAAATTCAATTGAATCAGTTTTATTATCCTCCTTGCGAGTGACCTCCATTCGAATAAATTTCCCAATTGGATAACCACGCAAAATAATAATTTTTTTCTTTACTTTTTCACCCAAAATATGTACATTTAAAGGAACTGGAAAGTGTAATTCTTTAATATCAAATATTCCAGGCATTGAACAATGCAAACATCGACAAGCAATTGGTCCGAGATGTATATTATTTAATGAATTTATTTGTAAAATGGCTGCATTTTCGGAAGGCAAAAGAATTGTTTCTGTTAACTGAAATATATTTTATATTTGTAGAGAAAATGTGGATTAGTTAATTTTTAAATCTGTCTAGAAGAAATCATTATATTCCCCCAGTTTGGAATAAAGAAACGACATTATTTGAGATTAATATGATTATAAATTAAATGGGAATTGAAATAATTTTAATGTTATTTGGGGGGTACCTCCAATCAGTGCCGGGTATTGGGCATTTGTTGGCTAAGGCTCCGGGTTTTTAAAATCTTGGCGGAGCTAGCTCCCGGAGCCATACTCAGCACTGCCTCTAACCAACCAAATGTTCAAATAACCTCGAATAATTTACTTCCTAAAGCCAAAAACCCTTTAAAAAATCATTCACCTTTAATGAATTATTTCCTTTTTCTTCATCTTCTCCGCGATTAAATGGCCATATAAATATTTTATTTAGAAAAGGTGAAGTTAAATTTTTGTCAGTTTTGAATTTACATTTTAATTCCAATTTATCTCCTAAATTCAAATTTGAAAGATTCTTTTCTTCAAATTTAGCAGTTTCCTCTTTACATTGAGAAAATGAACATTTAGTTAGTGTAGGGGCTATAATACGTTCTGGAATTGTTGGAAATAATGTTCTGAAAATGGAAAATAAAAATTATTTAGAAATAAATTTATGCTGACTACGAGGTTCACTCAACTATAAATTAATTAAAATTTAATTAAAACCTCAACAGTTAAAAGAGAGTCACAACTTTAAGGATTACTTTTACGAGAATTATTATTTTTAAAATAAATAATAAGAAATAAATATTTTAAAATTACTTAATATTCCATCCATTAATTATTTGTTTACTCAAAGCTTTTTTCCTTGTACGTAACCAAAAATTTGAACATTTATTACAATTTAATGGATTATTACGTAAATCAATTAAAGAAAGTTTAGAAGAACTTAATTCTTGCCAATTAAATTCGTCTAATTCATTTCCACTAAGATTTAGTTTTTCAATTTTTGGAAGATTTGTAATTTTAAATATTACATTTTGAGGGCATTTATGTAGAGATAAATCACTAAAAATAGGGAAGGTTTAAGAAATATTTTTGAATTTAAGATAGCGATTTTAACGCTAATACAGGTGATAATGCCTACAAAAGAAAGGCTAAGAAACACATAAAGGTATTATGTTCTAGCTTTACCAAAAAGGATTATTCTCGTTCTATTAACGAAAAACAGAATGACTTATTTGGAATTACGTGTAGGAACTAAGGTTGTCGGATTATTGGAAATCTTCGGATATCCGAATCCGGTATCCGAACCGAAAATTTCGGATATCCGGTCTTTTATCCGGTCTTTTATTTCTAGTCCATTAGTAGGGACTAGAAAATATATTTTTTTTAATATTATCATATTTATATGGTGCCAGATTTAAAGTGAAACGTAAAAAGGATAAAATGATCTAAGAATAGGGCTAAAAAGAATATTTTATCCCACTCCCTTTCAATAATCGTTAATTTAAGCAATTAATTTTACCTAATTTTTGTAATTTCTGATATATTTTTAATTAATTCCAACTCATTAACTGTTTGATTATTTTCCAAACAATTTAATTTTAATTGATTAATTTGTTGAGAATTATTTTTATTTAAATTAAAATAATTATTTAAATCTTTTAAAGAAAAACATTCCAAAAAAGAATTATTATTTTTTAAAGAACAATTTTTATTTAAATTAATTGGTGGTGTTAAATTAATAGTAGTAAATGATGGAAATAAAAAAATAAATAGTAGTAATTGTTGAATAAATATTAAATAATTAATTGATTTTAGTTGAAATTGGTCTAAAAAATATTTAATTATTTAAATTAATTAAATTTAAATTACCATTCATCGCTGATTTAATTTATATCCATTTTCTTTTAATTAAATAGAGGACGGAAATTTATTTAGAAAAAAGATAAATATTAATTTATATATTCTAAAATAAATAAAAATATTAATTTTATAAATATTTTAAATAATAATTAATAAAATAAAAATAAATATATATAAATTAATCTTTGAGTTTTGATTATTTATTTATTTTTTAATTAAAAGGTAGTATTTATTTATTTTGTTTATTTATTTAAATAATAATTAAAAAATAAATAAAATATTTATTATTTATAAATAATATACAAAAAATAAATATTAACATTAATTAATATATAAATATAATATTTATTAACAAATTAAAATCGTGTGAAATTTAGGGCCAACAAAAAATCAACTTAATATACTGTAATAAATAAATTTTTATTAAACTTTTTTGTAATTTTTGATGTTTTAGGAGGTGTTTTTGATGTTTTTATATTTATTTATTTTTTCTAAAAAGGAAAGAGGGATTAAGAAAAGTTTAAGCTGATAATAACAAATAGCTTTTAAAAGTATTAAATTGGTAAATAAAAATTATGTGACTTTAAAAATAATATGACCGATAAATACCGATCAATTCAAAATTTTATCGGTCGGTATTCCGTACCGTACTACCGATAAAGAATACCGATAAATATCGGAAAATACGGCTGTAATATGGTAAGGTCCGATCTTTAGATATAAGTATTGATTTAAATTAATTTTAATTTAATTAAAATAATTATTAAATAAAAATTAAGAATGAGATGAACAAATGAAGAAGTCATTGTTAATTTATTAAAATAATTTTTAATTGAAATAATCAGGGAAGAAATAAGGAAGAAAATATATTTGGAATTTAATTAATAAAAATAGAAATGTAATTTTAGTTATTTTATGGATAAAAAATAAAAATATTTAAAAATATATCTTGGATTAAATAAATAAAATAATATTTTTTATTAAGAGGATTAATTACCTATAAATAGCTAAGAAAATAAAAATATTTAGACAAAATTAGATTGAACTAAAAAATCAAAACATTGAAGGTGAGTGAAGATGAAATGAAGGTCGATGTTTTCCGCATAGTCCCATTTTTTGTACTAACTTTAAATATTAATTAAATAATTCGAAATAAAAAATATTTTTTATAAAATTTAAAATAAAATAAAAAATATTTTTTATTAATAAATGAGAAAGGATATACTAATTAGTAGTTGTAGAGCAATAAGCGCGTGAGCGGCATAAAAAAGAGGATGGATAGGCCTTGTCGGGTTTTAAAAATAAAGTGAAGAGGGGAGGGAGGAGGGGGGAAATAAATAAATTAATAATTAAAATATTTTTTATAATAAATATATATTTTAAATGAATTATTAATTTAAAAATAAATATGAGGCTTTCCTTTACAGGCAGAAAATTGGCAAAAAACAGGCAGAAAAAAATTAAATATAAAAAATATTTTCGTAAATTTTTTGAAATAAAACAAAATTTATTTATTAAAATAAATATTTAATATTTATTGTTTTTATAACAAAAAACTGAGTAATAATTATAACAAATGCCTAAAGACAATAAATAAATATATTTAATAATATTTTTAGAAATATTTTTTGTCAACCTTTTACGTCTTTATAAAGCAAATATAAATATAAACAAAAAAACTAAAAAAATTATTTTTTAGAGATTATCTACTGTTTTTAACGTCATTTTTATGTAAAGGATATATTGCCATTAAATAAAGAGACAAGGGGCTTAGAAAAAAAGAGAGAGGGATGGAGAGGAGATATGCTCGAACGGCTTTACCTTTTTTTGTATTTTCAGACAGCTAAAAAATAATATTTTAATATTGATTTACTTTTTAATATTTTTTGCCATAAAAGTTTTTTTGCCTTTTTATTTAGTAAAAAAAGTACTTTTTGACACCTGCATAATATATTTATAGTAAATAAATTGCTTTTTTACTTGACATTTTTTAGTAGTAAATTGTGGCATGCCACTAGGCACCAATTATATTAAAGATGGATGGATGGACAAAGGAAAACTAAAGGGGGGGGGGGGGGGGGGGGATATGTATTTAAATAATAAAAGGGAAAAAAACTTTTATTTGGAGCGAAAATAAATTAATTGGGGTATACAAATATTTATATTGAGGTCAAAAATCGTTGATTTTGGCATTATTCGAATATCTGGCAAGCGTTATCTAAACACTTGTCAATTTGAAGGGACTTGATTTTAAATTATGGCATCTAGTAAAGTGGACTGACTATATTTCAGAAATTAAAAATCAAATTTTCCTTAATTGAATGTAAATCTGTATAAATTTTTGGTATACTATAATAATTGAATTCACAACTGTTTTGAATTACAAAATATCTTAAAGCATTTTAGAACTATTTAGATACCGTATTTGCTAAAATGATTATCCTGGGTAATTATTGTTTCAACCCCTCGCTGTAGGGGGTAATTATTTGAGAGAGGGATATTATTCCAGCATTTACGATAAGCAAATAAGAGAGAGGATATTGTTTTATTTATTTTATTTTAATACATATATTTAAATAAAATAAATATATTAATTAAAATAAATAAAAATAGCTTTTGACCATATAATTAAATTCACGACTGTTTTGAACAAGGCAATTAGTCTCATTTCCCTGGCAATCCTCCGCCCGCGCAAGTGTTAATAATGTAATAATAATATTTTTTATTTGAAAAATATTTTTTAATTTTAATGTTTATTCTCTTTTCTTAGTTTTTTTCAAAAAAAAGAGAATATAAATAAATAAGGGATATATACACCTTATTGGCTTCTTTATATCCCCTTATTTTCATCTACCGATGAATTCGATTCCTTTTTTTCTACATTTCTTTTTCTCTCATTTACTCTCATATACTTTTATGTTGGCAAATAAGCGGCACGCGGCTTTTTTCTATTTTTTATTGCCAGACATCTCACGCACTAACTAATAAGGCAATGAAGTTATGAGAGAATATATTCTCTTCCTTTCCTTTGCCAAAATGGGGGAGGGGGATATTATTTAGAAAGGATAAAAAGAAAGAAGGACTATAAAATTAAGTATAATGGTTGTGCACAATTGAATTTTAATTAAAGGATTTATAGATTCATATAAAATATATGGATATACCTAGACTGATTTATAAATATTTTTGACGTTAATCTTGGCCACTCATGGTATTTTGCGCTTAATTTTTAAATAAAGAAAAAATGACGCGTTTTACGTTTGGGGCGCCATGCAGGAATTTTTTTAAATAATGTACGTCGTCTTTATTAATTATTTTGTTGCTTTTTCTCCTTCCTTTTTTAGCTTGTCTCCTTCCTTCCTCTATTTGGAACAATTTAATTAATTCGCATGTAGTACTTACTACTAAATTATTATTAAGTACATATTAAAAGATATCGGTCTAGTCTGATAATTTTCTCTATGGTAACCAATAAATAATTAGAATTAAAAATAAAAAGAAAGTTTATTTAAAAAATATTTTTTGTGTAAATATTGTACTTAATTTAATTTTAATTGTTCATATGAAATTTAATATGGATGGAAACAAGATAATAGATAATCAATTAAATCGTTCCAAAGTTCTATATACTTTCTAAAATCCTCAGATCTATAATTCTTATATTGTTTTTATAATTTATTTATTTACTTCCATTAAAGGACCAGATGAAAATAAAAATTAAAAATAAATTTAATTGAAATTGAATCAAAAATAACTCATAGTAAAGGTCTGTTTTGGCATTTATGAATAGATAGTTTTATTATAAAATTTTTAATTTTATAAAATTAAATACAAAATACATATATATTTTTATTTGTTAATTTTTATTATTTTTTTCTTTTTCTTCCAAAATCATTTCATTTTTTGTTAAATTAATAACTTCATCAAGTGTCTGAACAAATAACCAAACATCCATAAATGTATTATAAAGAGGTGCTGGGGAAACTCGAATTACATTTGGATTGCGTTTATCAACATAAAAAATAAAAAAAGATATTTTTTGAAAATAATTTTAACATTTAAGTTATTTAAATATTAGTTATTTAAAATTTATTTTTTACCACAATTCCTCTTTCTGACAATCTTTTATGAATTTTATCAATTTGGCAATTAAATTTTAAAGATAATTGGCATCCTCGTTTTTTTTGATCTTTTGGTGTTATTTGAATAAAATTAATTAAATTGTCTTTTTGTTGATTAAATTTATTATTTTCAAGTAAAAATTCGAGGTAAGAGGTTAATAAAATTGATTTTTGATTTAATTCTTCCATTGAAGTTTTTGAGAAAACCTTTTAAATATTATAAGAAAATAATAATTAAAATCGAATTTAGATATAACAAAGCAAAGGGACTGAAGAAAATGTTGATTAAATTGAAGGTCATTTTAGGGGGAATTAGTCTGGGATCATTGAAAAGGGTCGTTATTTCGAAGGGCTAGTCAAATTTAGAGTTAGCCGGTATCGTGATCCCGACACAAAATCAATATCGGTATTTTGGAATGATGATACCGATCCCGATAACGGCCTCGGTATCGATATTGGCCAAAACCAGTATCGGGATCCCAATTTTTTGCTAATACCGAAATCCCGATACCGGCCAACTCTAGTTAAATGGAGGTTCGAGTTTATTAAAAATATTTGCCTCAAGAAATCCTTTAACCCCAGCCATTAACATAGCTGAGGGTGTAGACATTCGATAGCCAGCAACCCCTTCAGAAAGTTCCATTTTATTATTCATTTGAAATCGAGTGTCTAAACGATGCCCCCACCATCCAAGAAGTCTTTGACGTGACATGCCTTCAGTTTTGTAACGTTCGTGAATAAACTTTTTTTAATTAAAGAAAAATATTTAAAATTATTTTTGAATGAAATCCAAAAGGATTCTAATCTTATTTTTATTTAAATTTTCGAATATGAATTCACCAATAGAGTGACAAAAAATGTTGAAATTATATCGAGAAATATTAAAATAGGTAGGTTGTTTCCTTTTTTGATTCGGTAACGTTATTTGAGGAAAAATTTAATTTAATTTCAAAATATCATTTTTTACTTTTCTGGTTAAAAACATTTTTTGAATATTTGCTATATTTGAATTTTAAAATCCCCAAAAAAACAAACAATTCCAGCAACACCCCCCGGACCAGAACAAGCATATTTATAATTACTCCAACAAGCAAAATCAACATTCCATTTATTTAAATAAAGAGGCACATTAGCTACAGCATGGGAAAGATCCCAGCCAACAAAACACTCTTTTTGTTTAGCTTTTTCGGTTATTAATTGAATATTTAATAATTGTCCAGTATAATAATTAACAGCACTAAAAAATAAAATTGATATTGAATTCCCTTCTTTTTCAATTATCTCAAGAATATCTTCTGTTCTAAGACAATCCTCTCCCTTTAATTTAAATAGAACAATTAATTTATTTATTAGAATAACCTCCCTCGGCTTCAAACAAATCATTGCCTTTAATGGATCTAATCCTTTAATTCTTAATTGTGATTCTATTGCATAGTGATCAGACGGGAAAGCATGATCCTCTAATAATATTTTGTATTTTGTTGGGGTTGGATTATAAAAAGAAGTAAAAAGCTTAGAAAATAAAAATAATTTTTTACAACAAAAAAATAAAAATTATAAAAATATAAATTATTAAATAAAAATTATTTTTTAAATTATTGTTAGAAAGTGAATTTCAAGAATTTTATAGCGATTTAAGCATTTAAGATAGGGATATTTATTATTTTTAATTTCAAATTATTCTATATGAAATCTTTAGATATGGTTATTCCTACTTAATATTACATGTTTTATATGCGGATATGCCTTGATGAGAGAAGCTCAAAAATGGTGTTTTTAGGTTGGTACGAGCACTTTAGGATCCGGTTCTTAATGCATATACCACCCTAAATATTACACGAAATTCAATCCCTTCATTCTCTTTAGGTAATTTTTATAATTAAGATTTTTATTTTATTTATTTACTTACCACATGTATATTCACAGTAGTTGAATTCATTAGACCAACTTCCTCTTTTAATTTAGCCCCTACCAATTTAACAATTCCTTCTAAAAGACGATCGTCACAGTTAATCCAAGGTTCTGAACCATAAAAATGTCCATCAACTCCCCTAATAAATTTAAAATTCTTAAAATAAAAAAATCCTCACATTTCTTCCCACTGTTTTAATACATTATTAATATATTTTTTTGTACATTTTGGTTGTAAACCTACAGAATTTGAACATAAATATATACATTCTTTTTCTAATCCAGTATTAATAATTGACGGATTAACTAAAAAATAAATATAAATTTATTTTAAAAATATTTTTAATATTTTTTTAAACAAATGTATATGTAAGTATAAATTAAAGACCTTTAATGATTAAGAAATATGTTAGGTATTTATGGAAAATAAAAATAATTTCTAGAATAATAAATATATAGAGGTTTCTTGGGTATTATGGATTTAGCCATTCTCATTTACATTTTTTTTCTCATAAATATTACAAAATTTTGAAATAAAAATACAATGGATTGTATTAAGGAAAATTTTCTAATAAACATTGAGCTTTTATTTTTCAATGAGTCTCATTGAGTGAGTTTTTAATAGGACATCTAAGGAACCTATGGTCCGGTATGCAGCGTCCTAAACTCTTGGTGAGTAGAATTCTCATCTTAAAAATTTTATGGGCATATATTCTTTTAACTCATGTGTACTATTTTGGAGAAAGTTTAAAAAAAAAGATTGAATTATTTTATATATTTTTTATTTTAACTATTTTATTTTTACTTAATAGTTTTGATATTTTTTTTAATTTAAGGAATTTTTTGTTTAATTTTCAAAAAAATATATTGTGTATTTTAAATGTCATATTTAAAAATAATTTTCTTAATTTTTGTGTAGCCTCTTTTATATTTAAAATTTTAATTATTTTTAAATTAATTAAATAACCATTAGGCAAAGTCCCCATCTTCGGAATGTAAAATTCATCCCGTAAATAACTCAAAATATCGCGGCAATCCAGCCAATTAGCCAGCCTTTCACTCAAAGCCCATTTCTCTGCTGCCCCTTCAGGTAATTCATTATGTCCAAATTTAGATAAAAGTAAAGTCAAAAATGGATGAGAATTAAGGGAAGAAGAATTAATAGACATTTTATTTCATTTTATTTTTTAATTTTATAAAATTTAAAAACAAATTTAGTTTAAAAAATTATTTTTTTTAATTTAGTCATAATAAATTAAAGTCATAATAGATAATTTATACATAGTTATAATAATTTAATATAAATTAAATATACACCTAGCCATATGTAGGTATATTAAAATATAAAAATACTAGTCTTATCAGTTAATTTGATAAAATAATTAATTTATGTTCCGAATTTTTTTTTGAATTTATTTTTATATTTTTGTCTAAATATTTGTTACAACGGAGAAATCAAAATAATTTATATATTTTAAATAAAATAGAGAAAATTGTTTAAATAAATGAATAATTTAATTTAAAAATATTTAATATTTAAATTTCAAAAAATTAATCTTCTTTTTCTTCTAACAAAATAAAAATTACATTTAAATTTTTGAATAAATTCAATTGATTAAATCAGCAATTTTTTCCAAAAATGTCTGTACAGGATTAATAACACTATTATTCATTTGATTTTGTAAATTACTCATATTTTCTTGTAAACTGAAATTATTTTAAAAGTTTTTATTTAAAAAATTTTACATAAAAATAAATACTGAATAGTTTGGGGTAGGTTAATAAATTTTAAAAGTTAATTAATAGAAGGGAAATATTTTTAAAAAATATCTGTAAAGGTACAAGGCGTGGCCTTTCTATTGCCAGCCGAACATTTTATTTCCACACCATCTCCCCATTCACTTCACTTTTAATTCCAATCACTTAATTCCCTTCTCCCCCACACATATATTTGTTTTTTATATTTTTTAATTAAATAAATTTTATTTTAATTTACTTTTAATTCTATTAACTTAGGGGTAAACCATCCGGGGCTCCGGCCCTAGTTCTTCCACGGACTAGGATAACCGGAGCTGCCGTCGAACTACTCTCCCTTCCCTTCCCAACAACCCCCAACCACACAACATTACATATCTAAAAATTTAAAATAAAATTACATTAATGCATCCAAAATATTCTGTTCAAGATTTTCAAAATTCCCTTCTCTGTCCACAACTTCAGCAACTCCGCGGGAGGCTAAAGCTTCTGAATTATAGAATTGATCAGCCATAAAAGGAACACAAATTAATGGTTTTCCATATTTTACGGCTTCTATTGAACTATTTATTCCACAGTGAGAAATAAAAAGAATTGTAAGGGGATGAGCTATAGGGAAAAATTTAAAAAATATAATTTTTTAAAAAAATAATATATTTAATAAATAAATAAATCCCCAAAAGTGGGATTTATTTATTTGGGCCATCCCCGAAAATTTGAGAGATTTTTTGAAAATTCATTTTGGTGAATGAATTCCCCCCCCCCTGTGGTGCTGCCTTCCCGTAAATTGTTCTACGTGGCTCTCCCACCCCGTCGGGGAATAACCCTAATCAACAGTCTCTAAAAATTTATTAAAAATAAATACCAAGAATAGCTGGTTGATTTACTCGATCAAATATAAATGTATTGGTATTTTCCTCCAATATATTATTTGTTCTGTTATAATCACACAATATACTATGTATTCTATAATCAACATCCTCAATTGCCCAAATAAATAAATAATTAAATTGAGAAAAGTTTTTAATTAATTTATGTATTTGTATGTCTGTAAAATATCGAGTATCAAACATAGTTCCAAAACTAACAAAAATTATTTGTTTATTATTTTGGAATGCAAAATCAAAAATATTTTCTACCTTAAAATTAAAAAAAATATTTTTAAATTATGAATTATGGTTAAACTTGTTCTGTTAAATTTTGATTGTTATTTTGTGGAATAGCTATTCCTCCAATATTTATAACCTTTTCGTGATAAATATTACTCATTGCTTCAAAATCAATTAAAGATTGTGTATTAACAAAAATAAATTTAATAATATTTATAATTAAATTTTCAAAATAATTCTCTTCAATTCCCATATCTACTCCAATTTGTTTAAAAAATTTATCCTAAAAACATAAAAATAAATAATTAATTTAATTTAAAAAATTACAAAATTTTTAATTTCTTTTTTTCTTTGTGATACTGCAACTTCATGTGGATTATTACTGGAAGAGGACTCTCCATGTTTGTTTGGTTTTCCTTTCAATACAACTAAAAAATTATTTTTTTAAACTTAGTGCGAAGAGATTATTAAAATAAGCTTTATGGAATTATTATTTCAACACCTCGTGGGAGGAGGTAATTAAAATTTTTTGAGTAAGTTTATGCTGTAAGGGAGAGAAAGATCCAGCTGTCTAGCAGGAGGTTTAAGATCTGATACAAGAGAAGATGAAAGCAGCGTCCCGTTAGCTCAGTCGGTAGAGCACCTGTACGTGATGAGCGAAAGCGCCTAGCAATAACTGCCAGGAGGTCGCAGGATCGAAGCCTGCCCGGGATTAAACTTTTACTTCGCTCTTACTATACCAATTAATATTTAAATTTAAAATTTAAACACAAACCAGGAATTTCATTTTGAATAATAGCTGGAAGTAATCCCAAATAATCATAATAAATAGATTCAAGTGGCATATTTGAAGTAGCCACAATATGTTTACATTCAATTAATTGAAGTGTTGGGAAAAGTGGATAGTAACGTAATTCGTTTATACAAACTTGATATTGTCGAAGGCAAAGTGCTTGTATTAAATGTTGGTCATTAGCGATTTCTTTAATTTATTTTTAAAAAATTATTTAAAAATGAAAATTAAAATAGTTAATTTTAAATGTTTTCTTTCCCTTTCCTCCCCTCCAAAAAAAATAATTTTTTCAAAAGTTTTAAATAAAAATTACTAAAATATTCTTTTAAATCTCCATGAATTGATTTTAAAATTTTTAAATTTAAATTAGGTGTCGACTTATATAAACAATGCGCTGCAGCAGAGTTAGAAAATTGAAGAATATTTGACATTTGTTGATGTACATTATTTGTTGGATAATAGAAAATCTTTAATTTATTGGTTTCTCTCAAATTATGATCACGATTTCTGTGATTTTCTTCAACAACAAAAAGTGTCTTAAATTGTTTAATTTTGGGATTTAAATTGTAAAAAAGTTTTTTTAATCTTCAGAGTTTGAAAGAGATTGAGGGGATTTGAGGTAGAGTTTCACTGGAAGTTCCGGTTCCGGGAGCCGAATTCCGAATTGGATCCTGTTCCGGTTCTGGTCAAAATTTCGGTTCCGGTGAAACACTAATTCAAGGAAACTTTTACCGCTTTTTTTACTATGTACAACAAGGAAAAATAATTTTTTTTTATTTTATTTTCAAATAAAATTTAAAAAATTCCCTAAATCAGAATAAAAGTTTGAAATAAAATACAAATTACCCAAAATTAGAAAAAAAATAACTTACAACATTTGTCACCCAGTCTTGTGCAACTAAAGAAAGTGCCATACTTTTATGAAAGTTAAAATGGCTAGTATATCTATTTGGAGCAACAATTAAAATGTTTTTAGCATTTTTAATATATTTAAATTGAAGACAAAAAATATAAGAAAATTAACAATTTTGAAAGAATATGGAAGAAATTGGATGGCGGCATTCCTTTCGGATAGGGCCAAAAATCATATGACTGGAAGAACTGAAAGTTGAGATAATAAAAAATTTTTTAATAAAAAATTTGTTAAACAATTTAGAATGTTGTAGTAGTGTTTAACAATTATTGTTTAACAATTATTCTATCTATTAATGCAAAAAAGTCAGTGTTCCCCATGTCAGACAATGCCTTTAAATTTAAATTTACGTAAATGCTCGGGTATATTTTCGTAGAATTCTAACAGAAAATTTTTATAAATTCGGAATTGACTACCACTTCCGTTTCCGACTTGATTTTTCAAAATTTATTTCCAATTAGTGGAATTATTTAGAAAAACAATGTACATTTTTGCCAATTTGGTATTTTTGTGCAAATTTTCTTAAATTTTTGGCATAACTGCAGCACTGAAAATGAAAGACAGGTTGCGAGGCACGAGTTTGTTATTTGCTAGATTCTTGATTACTTTCACAAAAACTTAAAACCCATTTGTAGCTAATAAAGAGTAAAATCTTTTAACATTTAACAAGCGATAAAGATAGAAATAATATTTATTTTTGTTTTCTTGTGTTTGCCCTATTCTCAACCCTAGAGCTGTCCGAGACCGAAATTTTTCCAAGACTCAAGACTCAAGACCCAAGACAAAATTTTTTCCAAGACCAAGACTCAAGACCAAGACCAAAACTCCAAGACTCAAGACCAAAAATCAAGACCAAATTTTTAAATCCCATAGGTCAAATTTTTGGTTTATTTTTTGTTATTTTGATACGATCACAGTCAACTTCAGCACAATTATCTATAATTTCGAAAAATTTATGCGAAATTCAAAGAATTTCGGGGAATTTATTCGTGTGGAAAATCAATAAAATAGGTTATTATTTCAGAGGATTTGGGTGGATTAACGGGATATTAGTGATATCAAAGGATTAAGAGGGATTGCCGTGGGATTTAGTGAATTATGAGGGATGTCGTGGGACGCCAAGGTAAAGCCAAAATTTTGGCGATACCCAACGTTAGCCCCCCCCCTCATTCAAAATCGACCCCCTGGCTACGCCCTTGGATTAAGGAGGATATCGAGGTTTAAAGGGGAATTTTAGTGGATTAAGAGGGATCAAAAGGAATAGTATGAAATTGGAGGACCAGGGTGATTAGGTGATGATGGTTGCTGATATCCATCCTCTATTTTATCCCTATCTTTTTGCGCGCATGCGAAAATTTGTACAATTTTGGAAGGCCAAGAAGCCAGAATTCTTCATTTTCCAGCGCCGCAGGCGAAAACTTTGGGATTATGAAGGCCGAGAAACCAAAAATCTTCCTTTTCCTGCGCCGCAGGCAAAAATTTTGAGAATTTTGGAAGGCCGTATGCCAAAAAATTCACTTTTTCAGCGCCGCAGGCGAAAATTTTTTTAATTTTGGGACTCAAAAAGCCAGATTTCCTCCATTTTCTGCGCCGCAGGCGAAAATTTTGAGGATTTTGGATGGCCAAGCACTAGGTCCAAAAAGGCCAAAAAACCAAGACCAAAAAATAAAACCAAGACAAGACCAAGACAAACACTCCAAGACCAAGACCAAAAAAAACCAAGAAAAGTCTTGGTTCCAAGACCAAGAGTCTCGGACAGCTCTACTCAACCCTAAGGAAATAAATATGTATAATATAAAATAAACAAAAATTATTTAAAATATTAATACTACAAATAATCATTCAATAAATAATTAATTTTTAATCACAAATCCTTTAATCATTTATTTAATTGTAGCCAATTCAGATGCGATAACCTTTAAAACTTAATAAAACATTTTATCTTTAATATTCTCACCATATTTTTATTTTTTGTTAAAGCTAAAATAGCTCTTCGAATAATTCTAATAAAACAAAAAAATAAAAGAAGTTTATCAGTAAATAAAGCTGTTGCTAAAGGAATTATTAATGCTACATCTCTTTCTGGTTCCCCAAGTGATAATAATAAAATAAATAAAGAAGCACTTGAACTCTTTAAAAAAGAAAATTATTCAAAAAAGTAAGAGGGTGATAATAAATAAGCAATAAGACAGCCTTTTTAATATCATAAGGAGAGTGCGGACCAGGGTAGGATTCTAACCGGAATTTTGTGGCCTTAACCCTAGCATGTAATAAGTAGAGCAAGGATTTTTAGGCAAATGCCTGTTTTTTCCCAAATAGGGGGGGGGGGGGGGTATTTTCCCCTATTTTGCCTTTTTCGGATTTTGGTGCCTATTTTGGCAGTTTTTTAGTACCTATATAGGCGCCTATTTTTAACTTTATTGTGCCTAAAAACCATGCTCTAGTAATAAATGTTTTGGAGTTTGCATTGTTTCAACCCTTAAACACTTCCCAGCTCCATTATCAAAAATAAATAATCTATTCGTGTCAGTAAATCTGTTTATAAGCTCCCTTGTTATTTCAAAATTTAAAAATAAAATAATTCTTTGCCTGAATCCCACACTCAACAACTATAGTTTTTGTTGATGATACTTTCAGACAAAATATTTTGGATAAAATCAAAGCAAATATATGAAAAGTAAAGGGCAATACAAATCCAATATAAAACAATAAATCCCAACTTAGAAGAAAAAAATTTTGCCAAGTTGTGATTAAAATTAATAAAATAAAAATTAAAGTTCCAATTAAGGCAAAAGGCTTTAAAAAATAAATTTTAAATTTAAAAATTATTTTGTTCAACCTTTAAATATTTTGAATATTTTTGTAATAATAATTTTTGACACCCCAATTTTGACATTAAAATTCCAAAAAAGAAAGGGATTAAAATTAAAAGAAGACAATAAATTAATGGAAATATTCCAATATTTACTCTTTCTACAAAAAATGAACGTTTTCCAACAAAATAAATCCAAAAAGGAAGAAAAACTTAAAAGAAAAAATAAATATTTTTTATAAAAAATATATGTACGAATAATTCCAATCCTTTGTATAAGCGCTATTCCGTCAATTAAATTTTTATTTCCATTGAACAGAATTGCCCTGTTTAATTAAATAATTTAAGTTTATACATATTTCTACTACTACATATGTGTTTATTAAAAATACTACTTCATTTGCTACCGAGCTATAAATGAATTCATTAATTATATTCATAAGTATATTCAATATACTGTAAAACTTTTAGTAACTACCCTGGGTAATCAATTTCGACCTTCCACTGGAGGGAGTAATTAATCGAGGGAGGGTAATTATACGAAATTTGGAATTTGTAAGTGTTTTAAGGCATTTGATGGGGGTAATTATTGTTTCAATATATCGTTGGATGGGGTAATTAATAGAAGTGGGGTAATTATTTGAGGGAGGGCAATTAATACAGGTTTTACGGTATTATAAAGGAAAATTATCAATCTTATTGTCAGATTTTGAGTTATCGTTTTTTTGTTGAATTTATTTTATTTCATACATTTTTTTATTCTTTTAAAATTAATTATCCCACCAAAATCCATTTTGAGAAGCCCCAACAGGCAAACAACAAACGAGGAAAAATGCGAGTCGAGTAACATAAGGATGGCTAATAATTAAATATTTAGATATTCCAAATCCAACCAAAGGTTTAAAAATAAATTGGCATAAAAAAATAATTAATAGAGGTAGTGGCTGTAATCCATCTTCGCCAATATTTAGTTGTAAACCTGTTAGAAAGTTTCCAATCCCAATGGAAATTCCAAAAGCAGGAATCAAAAAATTTGTTAATTTTGAGTAAATTAAAGTTTTTGATGTTCTGATTCGATAGAAAAATTCTCTAAAAAATTTTTTTTAACAATTTTTAGTTTTGATTTTAATTTAAAACAAAAAAGTAGAAATTAACTGTTTGAAAATAAAAAACGAAAGGGGTCTTCTAATGGTGCATATTACAATATTGTCTTAAAATTTCTAAAATTCTCTAAATCATTATATCTACTCGACTGATTAACCTATTCAGAGATAAATTGTAAAAATAATTAAGTAATTCAGTTAATCGAGTAAATTCACAGTTTATTTACAAAAAATTACACATAATTAAATTTATATTATAATTTCAACAACTAACGTCTTTCCTGCAACAACTTTAATTTTATTTAATCCAACAAACTTTCCACTAATGTTAATATTAATCCATTGGGCAAATTCATTTTCTTTGTCTAATTGTACAGAATATTTTATTGGACATTCCGTTTCATTTAAAGGACAATTAATTTTTGGCCATTCACAATTAATAATTACTTGACCTGACCAAGCTGTTTCGTTTGTATATACAATTAACCATATTGCTCTTTTTTGAAAAATAATTAGTTTTAATTGGAAGTATATCCAGGGATGTCTTAGTTACAAAATTCTGAAACGGTCCCGGACCCGGAAATAATTGATATTATTTCGTTTATTAAAAAAGAAAATAAATATTGGTAACGGGGGAACATTCAAGCAATTTTATTTTAGATAGTTTCTGCCTGGTCGTTTTTATTTAAAGCAATAACTAACTAATCGTCAGATCTTCTTAAGCATACGATCATTAGATTGGATCATTGGATTTTACTTAAAATTATTTTTTTTCTTATCCAAGTAGCCTTGATTAAAGGTTATTATTTTAATTTTATCAGCCTTGGTAAATTAAATAAATAAATATTAAAAACCTTTTATAACCAATTCTAAATTCAACCAAATTTGGAGGGTCAATCCAAAGTTTTGGACTTTCAGTTGTATTTAAAAATATAACTTGTGAATTAGTAGGGGGAATATACTGACATAAAATAAAAAATGTGAAAATAAATAAATTTATTTGTTTTAATTGAAAATTAATAAATAACATTTTTAATTTATTAAAGACAATTTTATTTACAAATTTTTTAAAAAATTTAAAAAATATTTACTTGTTTTAATTTATTCTTCTCTCGGTAATCCGTAGAAGATTAAAAGCCTGCTATAATATGTAGGTTATGGTAGATAATAAAGCTTAAAATATATTCACAGAAATGTTTAATATTTTTTTAAATTTTATTAATTATTGAAATAAATTAAAATAACAATTAAAATATTAATTTAAAATTCTTAAAGTTTTAAAGACAAGAAGGAGTAAAAGAATTAGTTCATATCAAAATTTTCTTTCAATTTGATAAATCCCAGATAATTACTAAAATTTTATTAACTAACAAAACAGAATTTTTGGCTATCTTGTAGTGTTTTGCCAGAAGTTCCAAGATTTTTTGGTTCCGTTCCGGCCAAATTCGCGATTCCTGCGAAGCAACTATCTTGCATCTACTTGTTTATTATACTACCGGCCATTTAAAAAATAAAAATATAGGTAATACTCATTATTTTATTGCCCAACTGTCCTTTAAAATATTTAAATCCGGTTTTGTGTTTTATTCATTTTACGTATACAGGAATTGTTTATTCACAATATTTTTCAAAATATTTTTATTTGTCTCTAAAATATTAAAAAAGAATTGAATAATGGGGAGAGGATTTGGAGAATTGTGAGGGGGGAGGAAGGGATTTGATGATGCGCATAGTTGAATTGAAGGTTTTAGGCCGATAAACATTTTTTGTTATTTTATTAGAGTACTATTTAATATAATGGCCATATAGAAACAATAAAAATTCCAAAGTTTTATGACTAAAAAATATTTTATATTGAATTTCATATTTAATAAACACAGATTTTTTAAATGGTAAAATTATTAAATTAACTTTATTAATTCATCTTATTAGGGAAAGTTAATTTATTATTTTAAGCTTAATTATATTATAGGGGCACATTATCTTGATAGGCTTTCCACAAACTCTTTAAATTCCCTCAAACATTTTATCAAAATACCGTAAATTCTCTAATTATAGCAAATTTGCTTATATTTTTCAATCCTCTCGTAGGGTGTGAAGCACACACCTCTCGTAGAGTGTGTGCTTCTACATATTAGAGAATTTACGGTATTTATTAATGAAAAAATGTGTTTTAGGGCTTTATTTGCTAACAATTTGTAATATGCAAAATTTATGTTAGGCATTATTTTAGGAAGTAAGGTACCTCCTATTAATACCTTATTTTGTATCTTTGAACTTTTAAAATTAGAGAAATTGTCTCACAAATTTTTTAAATTAAATTTTATTTTTTATTAATTTTTATAAACTTTTAAAGTAATTAATAGAAAAATGTTTATTCAATATTTAAATCCAATATCCTCATCATTTTTAAATTTTTCCAAAATAATATTTAAATTAATAACAATTATTCTTATTATTTCCAATCAAAATAATGCTACACAATCAGTAAATATTTAAAATTATTTTTAATTTAATTTTTTATTTAAAAAAAGATATTTTCGTGTCCATTAAATCCAACAAGTATTTCTGGAATTCCTGGCGTTTTTCCAGATTATGGACCTGCTGGGGGAATTGGTGAAGTGTAAGTATATTGATACATAATTAATTAGAGTTGGGAATAATTAAATAGAGATAGAGTAGTATGTTTTCTGAAGAGTTTAGCAAAAGTTTAGCCACCAAGCAGGATTCGAACCTGCGACCTCCTCGTAATTATTGCTAGACGCGTTCGCTCACCACATATACAGGAGCTCTATTATTTAGCTACCGGGGCGACGACTTTCTCTTTTATCCTTTTAAGAAAAATGCTTAATGCTTAATTAAATGCTCTATGTGAATCGTCCTTAAACTGATATTTAATTTTTGAAATTAAATTTGGAACTTATTTATTAGTTCCAGAAAGGGTTACTGAATCTCAAAATATTTGAAATAAAATATAAATTTAAAAAATAAAATATCTAGAAGTTCAATTAATTTTTTTAAATCAAATTTTCTAGTTGTGGGGATGGCTCTTTTATTCATTATTGGACTTGTTGTGAAAATTATCCTTTTGAATGTTGTTTTAATCTACAAACATGGGCAATGTAAAAATAATTATTTAAAAAATTTAAATTAAATATAATTTTTAAGTGTTTTATTAGCTATGTTGGTTGTTATATTTTTTGTAATTATTCTTTGTTTTGTTGGTAAATATTTAATTTCACGACAAAGAGAAGAAGAAATTGAATAAATTAAAAATAAATATTTTATTTTTTAATTAAATTTAAACAATATATAAAAAACAAAATAATAAAATATTTCCAAAATCTAACAGATTTTTTGGCAGATAAATTGTTAAGAGAAAATAGGAGAATTTTACATTTAAATTAAAAGGAAAAGATATTTAGGTCAATAATAAATAGAAGGCATTAAATTAAAAAAATAAATACTAGAGTTTGACCCAGAGCCGGGTTTTCCGGGCCTGGTAGCCCGGAAACCAGGTATTTTGATAAAATCCGGTTCTTCGGGGTTTCCTGGTTTTTAGCCCGGAAGCCCGGTCTGAGTGGAAGAAAAAAACCCGGATACCGGGACCGGCAAATGGGAAATGTCGAACTCTAATAAATAAATAAATTTAAGTATTATCACAATTCCCAATTATTTTTAAATTAAAAAGAATTTTCACTAATATTTTTTATATTATTTAAAAATATTATATTATTATTTGTTGTTGAATGGTAAAAGGTTAAAAGTTGAATTCCCGACCAATTCCAAAATACCATTGCAGCAAGCACAAAAATATGCCACCATTGGTGTGAACAACCAATTAAATCAAATTTTCCTTTAAAATTTCTTTAATTTTTAAAAATATTTATTTAAAACTACCAGGAAAGAGCCGTTCAGGAAATAAAGTTGTGTAAAAAGCAAATGCCCCTCCTAATAAAATAAATAAAATGCAAAGATTTGGAAGCCATTGTTGAACGTGAGGATTAGAAAGGCCTCCATGAAGCTAAAAAGAATTTTAATTAGATTTAATAAAATAAAAGTTTCTTTGAAATTTATCACGACTTATTGTTTGTCCGCATTATTACAACAGTACTAGGTCAGTAGTAGTTAACCCCACCCCCGTGTCGCCTGTCAAAAATGATATTAGTTAATCAATCAAAATTAAAAGGTGTGAAGTCATTTCCCTCCCGGCCCCTTCCCCACCAACCAAAAGGTTTTGAGACTTCCCCACCCCTCTCCAATAAAAGGTTTCCCCCACCCACCCCTCCAACCAAAAGCTGTTGAAGCTTTTTCTTCCCTCTTCTTCCCGCACCCTCCTCACTAACCAAAACCTATTGAGCTTTTCCAAAATTATGCAAATGTATCCGAAAAAAGTCGTGGGGGCAGAAAAGAGAAATAAAAATAAATCTTTTCGTCCTCTCCCGAAAAATTACGCAATAATTCCCATTGTTCTTTTATAAAATTTTAAAGATTTTCTTTTAAAAAATAAGGGTGTAAATAAAAGAATAAAAAAATACTGTAACGGGGAAAGAGAATAAATTAATAGAAATTAATGGAAATAAAAAATAAATAAAGTAGTATGTATAAATTAAGTTAAAAATCTCCTCTCTCTATTTAATCTCTCTATTAAATCTCCTCTCTTTATTAATCTCCTCTCTCTATCCCACTAATAAAAGAAAAAAAATCTGTAGTAGGAAAATAAAAGTAAATAAAAAATATAAATTTAGGTTAAAATAAAAATAAATAAATGGAAAAATAAATATTTAAAAAATAAATAAACAATTAAATTAAAAATTTAAAAGATATACATCAATTACTCGTCGTCTCGTCGTTTACAACTTTTACCAAAAATTACCACTAAAATTAAAAATTATACCCTAAAAATTTTTTCAAATTTCCCTTTTTTATTTCAAAATATTTTCCCTCTAAAATTCTTTTACTTTATACAGATTTATCTTTAGCCGCTGGAAATAAAAGGATAAAAATTCTTTTTATGCAAATTTTACGATTTATTCCCTTTCTTTTTGGAATTTTAATAAAATTCCTTCTATTAAATTCTTTTAAATATTACACCATTCGACTCCCTTTACAAATCCCAAGAGACTTAAGGTCGAAAATAAAAGGACAGGAAATAAAGTTTAAGCATTACGAAATCCTTTCTTTTGCTTTTTTCCCTTTCTATGCAAATTTCCTTAACTCTTTTTTTTTCACGACTGGAAATAAAAGGAAAATGGATAGAAATTCCTATTCTAACAAACATTAATCATTTGGGGATCCTTAAAAATAGAGGATTTTGGATTTCCTTCTTCATTCTTGAAAAATTTTGAATATTTACTACATTTGAATTACTTCTTATTTTTAGCTTTATTTTTTGATTTTATTCGAAAATGTCTCCTCCACCTTTGAAGAAGTCAAAAAATTTCATGATCAACAGTCTACTTGATCTACAATCAGGAGGAGGTGATTTTTTAAAACTTTTGGGGGAAGAAACCAAAATTACCCGAAAATTCAATATAACCAAACTTTCTACTAAATTTTTAATAACTGGTCTACCCGATCAACCAGAGGGATTGCTAAGGGAACTTTTCCAAAAATGTATTGACCAAACTCTGGAAATCAGCCGGGATAATCAAATCGACCCTGATCAGCTTGGCTGTACCGTGAGCAGTCAATTACTGGAATCTGATATCTGGATCCCAATCCGTGAAATTACTCCCAACACGGTGGATTCAATTCTTAATCAATTCCTTAAAGTTGCCCAATCCAAGAAACAGGATCAGGGAATGCTCTGGGGCGAACCCTTCACCGTCTCCGTTACTACCGTAGATAAGAAGAATTTACCTACAACACGTTCTATTAATGGTAGTGGTGGCAAACCTACTCGTCGGATCAGCGACAAGAATCTCATCAAAATTCATAATTCCGACAACTATTGTTTATTCTATGCATTAATGGCTTCATATATTTATTCAATATGTTCCTGGTCTAGGAGTAAATTTTATGACTATATACACAACAGAAAAGGTACTCGTCGACTTGATCAGGACACCAAGAATCTTATGGCAAATGTGGGAGCACCTGTTGACCTGTCTACTTATGATGCAAAGGAATGGGTACCAAAAGTGGTTGATTTCTGGAATTCAAGGAATGAAGGTGGATTTAAAGTTTTTATTTTTGGGGAATTCGACGAGAAACCTATTTTCAAATATGGGGCTGAAAATTACAATACCCCTATTTTGGTTTATTACAACAATAATCATTTTGATGGGGTTAGAAGGGCAAGTGATTTATTTGGGGAAGCATATTGCCTTGCCTGTGAAACAAGTTACAACCGGTCAAAATATCATTCAGCCTCCTGCAAAGCAAAGTGTCAGAACTGCTGCAGGATTGGACCTGGCTTTCCCTGTCAAACTTTGAATAACTACTCCAAACTGTGCAATGGTTGCTACAAGGAATTTAATAATGAAGAGTGCTACAATCATCACCTGAAATCTAACTTTTGCAGCAACTCTAAAAAGTGTGAAAAATGCGGTGTGGTTTGGATTGTAAAGGATAACAACCGGAATGGGCGTACTGGCCACGTGTGCTCCGAACGGTATTGCAACACGTGTTTTAGTTTTCATGATCTAAAAAGAGGTTGTTACATTAAACCTCTTACTCCCAGGAAGCCCAAGCCATACAAGATTATCGCCTTTGACTTTGAGACTATGCAACACAAACAAGGCGAAAAGGGTAAACTACACGAAGTGAATTTTATAGCAGCAAAAATCAATTGCCCCGAGTGTATTAATAAAGGAATGAACACCAACTGTACTGTTTGTGGAGAAGATCGAACTATAACCTTCTCCCATCATCCTTTCTCTAATACATCAGTGGATCAGCAAAATATTACTAATGATCCCCTGACCGATTTTGTGGCTTGGATAACCAATTTTTCTACTGATACAGTCGCCTTTTCTCATTTTGGAGGAAGGTTCGATATGGTCTTGGTCTTCAAAGCTCTGTATCTTCAAGGACTGACCCCGGATATGATCAAGAATGGAAACAAAATGTACGAAATGAAGGTGAAGAATGATAAGAAATGTTGGGTCATCTTTCACGATACGTATAATTTAATGCCTATGCCCTTGGCTTCTCTGGTACCGGCATTTGCTCTACAGGTGGAAGACAAGCCTTTTTTCCCCCACCTGGCCAACAATCCGAAAAATTATGGGAAAGAAATTTACCCAACAAAGGAAGAGTACCTTGCAAATGGAATGATGCCTGAAAAGAGGGCTCAGTTCGATAAATGGTTCGAACAACATAAAAGCGAACCCTTCAATCTAAATGAACAACTAGCAGCCTATTGTACAAACGATGTGGATATTTTAATGGCTGCTCTCATTGCCTTCAGAAAAGAATTTCTGGAGGTTTCAAATGGACTTGATGTTCTTCGAGAGTCCATGACTATAGCTTCTGCCTGTATGAAGCATTTCCGCATGAATCACCTCAAACGGCAACATGTTGGAATTGTACCGGAAAAAGGATACGACAATGTGGATAACCAAAGTTTGCTGGCTCTCCGATTTCTCAAGTGGTACTCTGAAAAGAATATGGTCAATATTAGGACAGCCCACTCAGAAAATGGAGAGAAAAAGATGGGTAAATATAAGTTAGATGGCTGGGTCAAGGAGAAGAAACTGGCTATTGAGGTAAATGGGTGTTGCTGGCACGGATGTATTAAGTGCTACCCCGATGACGACATTAAACTCCCAACAGGTCTAACAGCAGGACAACAGAGGCAAAAGGACAACCAACGTTTGAGTTTCATCAAGAATCTGGGAGTGAATGTGGAAGTTTATTGGGAGTGTGAAATACGTAATATGGTTTCAAAGGACTATGAAATGAGGAAAATGTTCAAGAACTATTTGGATGATGGACCCATCAATATTAGGTCTGCATTCTATGGTGGAAGGACTGGTCCACTGAAACTCTTCCACAAAGCTGAACCTGGTCAGAAAATCTCCTACTACGACGTAACTTCCTTATACCCGTTTATTAATGTTTCAACAAGGTACCCAGTTGGACACCCTGAAGTCCACGTCATAAATAAAGATGTCAACTGGACCAAACCTGAAGACAACAAATACCAACTTGCTCTACTCAAACTGTTCATCATCCCACCACGTAATATTGATATTCCGGTCTTACCTATGAAAATTGGGGAAGAAGACGATGAAAGACTCCTTTTTCCACTATGCTCTACATGTGCCAAAGAGCATCCACATGGTGATGTGAAGGAAAACTACTGTTGCCCTCACACCGACCAACAAAGAGGGTGGGTCAGCACATGTACGTCTATTGAGCTTAATGAAGCTCTCAAGGAGGGGTATGTGGTCACCAAATTATTTAGGGTGTTGGAATTTAATCAACATGACGACACGCTCTTTAGGCCATATATTAGTGAATTTATGGCACAGAAAATTCACTCTTCTGGTTTCGACAGTGCCATCAAGGGTGACAAGGAGAAGGAAGATAAGTTTATGAAAGAGTGCCTGGAAAAGTTTGGAATTAATATAGAAAGGGAAAAGATGGTCGTCAATAAAGGGAAACGGACACAAGCAAAATTGTGTCTAAACAACTTGTGGGGTCGATTTTCGTTAAGGAATTTTGGGCTTTCTCAATGCAAAATCACGGACGATCCAAATGAATTGGCCAAAATGTGCGACGACCCGTCAATCACAATTAATTCAATTGATGAGCTCACAGAGGATGTAATACTTATCAACTACATCAAGAAGAAAGACTGGGTCGAGGAGCATGACTCGTCCAATGTCATCATCTCGCTCTGGACCACCTCAGCAGCGAGAATCCACCTTCTACATGCGATGCAGAAGGTTGTCAGGACGCCTGGGTGTCAGTTACTTTACACTGACACAGATTCATTAATCTTCTCCCACCCAGACAACAATTGCCCACTTGAATTAGGGCCTCATCTGGGTCAGTTTACTGACGAGTACCCAGACTTTAATATTTTGGAATACTGTTCTGGGGGCGCTAAACAATATGGGGTGAAGCTGCAAAAGAAGTCTACACCCAACAGTGAACCGGACTATGTGCTCAAAGTCCGTGGAATGACTCTCAACTGGGATGTCATCAACAACCAAGGTCTCTGCTACGAAAATTTCAAGAAACAAGTTTTTGATTTTACAAAATCAGATAATATACCGATTTTAATTAAATATCCAAATTTTCTTAGGCCATCTATTAGAGATGGTTCAATTATTACTCAACCCCTTACTAAAATTTATAAACCGTATGTCGGTAAGGGCATTGTCCGCCCTTCCGATTTTGTTGTACTAAATTTTGGCCATATTAATAATAAACATCCTAGAATTTTATTGTAATTATAGGGGTTGGAAAGTAGCCAGGGGTACAGGCACCCAACTCTATACCAACTATCGAATGTTGTGAGGTAATCCTCACATTGGAAATCGGTAGTCGTGGACTTGAGTATAAATTCTCACTTCCCTGGTTGAGTTGGGCATGCCTGTCAAATGGCGAAGCCAAACTCCTATCTTTTACAATATTTTTATACTTTTTTCATAATTTTTTTCTTATTGTCATTTTATAAATAATTTACACATTATTATTGTATTAATTTTATTCGTGATAAAATTTTTAAATAAAATTTTGAAAAAATTAGTCAATAGGAGTCACAAATTTTAGGGGTAAAATTGCATAGTTAGTGAAACAAAGATACAATTTTAAAAATATTAAAAAATTAAGAGAAGGAAGACATAGTTTTTAGGGGTAATTTTACATAATTAACGAGTCAAAGTAGTAGATTTCAGAATTTTGGAAAAGGAATTGTCCTTTTTAGGGGTAAAATTACAAAATTAAGGAAAAGAAGATGAAATTTGTCAATTTTCATCTTTTCAGTGCATGCACGCGTGTATATGGATGTGCGTGTGTTTTATGTGCGCGCATGTTTCTAGGGTGCGCGTGTATTTACCATTCATCTTGACTAAGGTCTCCCCTATAAATTTCCATCTCATCTTCAAATTCCTTGTCCATAAAAATTTCAGGACTATCTGGAGGAGAAAATTTTGCCTTCTCTGAAAATTCCGAAGACAAACTTGGAAGTTTCTCTATCTCATCATCAACAAATTCTAGTAGTTCAATAGGGTAAAAACGATCCTTAGCCCAAGGTCGATGCTCGATTACGCAATTTAGGTACGGGTTCTTAAGTTGTATACGATGTCTAGTGTAGAAATGTTGTGCTATACTAATATTATAGGGACGTCTTAGGCGTCCATAGGCGCGAATTCTATTTGCGCCTTTTCGTGTAAGTCCTCCAAATAAGAAGGTCTTTCTTTCAAAGTCCTTGTTTAAGTAAGTTGTGCGGACTTTACGATCCAAAAATTTTGTTAGTACACAAACTCTTGTTTGAGGATTATCTAAATGTCCGGCTAGGCTACGGACTGAGCAGTCTAGAAAGCGAGCAATTTCATCAACAACAAGAACCATTTTGGAAGAATGAATATTTTGGTAAAAATTCTGTCCTTTTATACACACATGTCGGTCACTCGACAATTCTTTGTAACACAATCCTCACATAAATCAAACTTTACAGTGACCCCATTCTCATATCTCACTAATTTATCTTCCGAATGAAATAGTTTTTCCCTACATTCTTTGCAAAAATAAAACTGAAGTAAATATTTTGGCTTGGTAAGTTTCCATAAATTTTTGTCAAAGACAAAATAAGCAGGTTTGCGAGAATTTTCCTCAGACATTATAAATGTTTATATGAATGAATTCGACGGGTATTTATACTCGCCACAAACTAATTAATCATTTTATTTACAATATTTTGCACAAATATATCAGGGTCATTAACCTTGTTTAACATTTTAAGATATTGGGTGAAAGTATAGCCTTTCGAAAGAAAATAAATAAAAGAAATACAATGGTGAGCACAACAATCAGAAGTAAAAGACTGGTATCCTTTCAAATTCCTAACAACAACAGAAAAACCTTTTAAAAATGAATTAATAATGCATATGCTTGTGGGTAAATTTAAACTATCAAAGTAGACTACTTGTCCACTTGTTTGTACATAAATTGAAATCCAGTGGGAACCTTGATATCCTTGGGGGTCCAAGTTTACAACTAAAACTTTCCCTACTAAAGGTTGGGGTAAATTGTTACACGGGAAGCATCCTTGGAATAGGTGGCTGGTTTGTGGGTTTGACCTCAATATTGCTGTTATCTGGGTGTTGTACATTATTTTTATAAGTTTTTAACCAAAAAATTGACCGAAGTTGGTAAATGATTAAACTTGCTATTAACATAATATATAGGCAAATCAGACCCCAGCAAAAGACATGCCCATAAATATCCCTGGGGGTTTCATTACAGAGCGAGGGAAGGTTTTCAAAAGGAAATGTGGCAAAGTTTGGTGAAGGGGCTGATACTCTTGGCAGTGTGACATTTTTCTTAGGATATCCCATTTTATTTAGATACTCCGCATACTCAGGAATCTCTTGTAATTCTTCCATAGCTTCTTTAGTTAGTCCAACACACGGAGTAAATATCCGAAGTAAAAATAAAGTTACTAAAATTCCTTTCATTTATTCAAATGGTAGTGTCGCTTGCTATTGTCCGGTTTTTATCTAGCATTATAAGGGAGTCCGCCTCGCCCATAACAACTAGCATGACTCCACCCTCTGGAACTGGCTGACTGAATTTGATGTTTATGGCTGTAGTCCCATTTTTTATTAGGTCAAAAGTCCCACTATTATCATCCCCACTGTTTGTCAAATTGAAAACGTAAATACAGTGAGTCTTTCCATACTGTTGGTAAGTGATTCCATTATTTTCAGAGGAGTTTGTCAGACCAGTAGCCTCATTCATATCATGAAATGCCCTTACATATCTCCCATTTTTATAGTCAAAGTCATAGGGGGCCTGGGGGTATGGTCTTCCGTTGGCAATAATACTAATTTCTCTAACATTAAAATGTTGAAAATTGAAAGGACTCCTGGCTATTGTACCTACATAATCCGAGTTTGCAACTAGACCAAGGGTAATTCTTCTGGGAATTTGGTCCATGAACAAGTTTGCGTTAAATTCATATCTACCCTGACTTATGAAAAGTGGTTTCATCATAGTCTTTCTTATTGAATATCTTGCAGGCTTAGTTTCAAGTTTCTTAGCAATATCAAGAGAGAGCCCGTCCATAAGATCAACCTTTTTGACGTACAACTTACAGCTTACAATTTCAAAGTTGTAAGTTATTGGTTGGTCAACTCCAAGTACTGGAGGAGCAATCAATACAAACTTCATGTCATTTGGAAGTATTTCAACATCAATTTCGCAATGATTTATTAGATAGAGAGGTTGGTTGAATATATCTGCATCAAGTTTCGAAATGAATTGTGCAGTTTTACTCGAAGAAAATAAATTTTTTCTTGTATTGTACGCTGAGCCATCCTCAAGTTTCAAGTCCGTGTCATAGAAATACCCTGCAGCGTTCAAATGAGAACTTTTTGCCTCTTGCGAATAAGATAATTCGTGAGAAAAGTAAGTCTTGTAGGCGTAGAGTGAGTTTGAATTAAAAATTTCCCTTCCATTTACAGTAATTCGCATATTATTTATAAATGTCTGACCTATTAGCTGTATAGGTGCTACATTATCTGTAGCAGCCAATTTGACCAATTTTCCATCTTCACTTTCCTTTTTTATGCGAAATTCAGTAAACAGGTAAACTTTTGATAGGTCTATGTAATTTTGACTACTATGAATCTTAAAATGAATAGGTGTATCAGTAACAGGATTACTTGGTAAAATTTCAAAAACTTTGGATGAAGAAATGCTTACATTTGTTGGTGGGACTTGGAAAAAATCAAGAGCATTTGTAATAGAATTTATACTATCACGATCAATTTTATGAAAACTCATGTTTAATAAAAACCAAAAGCGTCAGATTTTAATCGTTTCCTTTTAATAACTGTTTGATGACTGGGGATTGGTTTCCTTTTTATACCCCTTCCAGATCCAAATTGTTTAGGTAAGCCTCCTTTCTCAAGCACGGTATCTATCCCCTTCTTCCCTTCACTGACTAGGGCTTCTTTTATAGGTTCTCCTTGAATGACCCTTCCTAAAGCACGTTGACCTGTGTTTAATGCCTCTTCTGAAACAGTGGTACCTACACGTCGCATTATTGGTAAAAAAAATCTCCAAAGTCCTCTCATAATATCCCCAATGCCCGCTCCTCTTTGACCATAACCTCTCTGAAAGGGAGCTGCACCTTTAAAATAGTCATCTGTAACTCCTCCTCCTTTCATTGGAAGAATAAAATCGTCATAACTCACAGTACTTGTATCAAATAAAATGTGGACCATTTTTAATTTGTAAATGAAAATCAGAAATTTATCACCTTCTTAAATATTAGGACCAGGAGCACTGTACCGAATTCAAATGGTACAGGTCGACCATTATCCATTGTTCTCAGTTCAATCTCAATCTCATTAACTTCTTTTGGTAAAACTCGAGCGTAAATTGGTGAATCATATATTTTCTCATAATATTGTCCTGGGGTGGCTCCAGCTACAGAAACAACCCTTAGGAGTGAACTAAGTGAATTCCCTATAATCATACTTTCAGTAAGTCCTTTGGAATAAACAGCGAAACTTGAGAAACCTCCTCGTAAATCACACCCGTACTTGGCAATTTCATTGTTTAGTACCATGTTTGGATTTTGGAAGCCTAATACATAACCTAATTGATTGGAAAAGGAAACATATTTTATACTTGGGTGGGTGAATGTGACTTTGAATCGTTCAAAGTCGCTATGATAAAATAATTCGAGAGAATCTATAATTTGCTTTTGTGTTGTTGAGTCTACTTTGTTTACTTTGCCATATTTTTTTACAAGTATAGGCATATTTGGTAGATAATTTATCCTTGCTTGAGGAGTTATCTTCTGTCCAAGATTTGCAAGTACATGGGTAAGTACTCGTTCATATTCTTCAGTCCATAGAGGGTCATTAAATGTAGCTTCAGGTTTAGGGAGTTGTGGAAGTTCGGTTGAAGATTCAGCTGAAGACGAGGGAGATGGAGTTCTTGATTCTTCCTCTTGTGTTCGTGAAAGAGAAGTGGGTAAAGAAGGTTGTATTGCCTTTGGTTTAGGAGTGGGTTTTGGTGTTTGAGGAGTGGGTTTTGGTGTTTCAGCAGAGGGTTTTGGTGGTTGAGGGGAGGGTTTCGGAGATTGAGGAGTGGGTTTTGGTGGTTGAGGAGAGGGTTTTGGCGGTTGAGGAGAGGGTTTTGGTGGTTGAGGTGGTGTAGGCTTCGGAGGTTGCGGAACGGATTTTGGTGGTTGATGAGAGGGTTTCGTAGGTTGTGGAACGGGTTTTGGTGTTTGAGGAGTTGGTTCTGGTGGTTGAGGAGAAGGTCTTGGTGGTTGGGGTGCGGGTTTCGGGGGCTCAGTTGAGGGTTTTGGACGTTCAGAAGAAGGTTTTGGAGGTTGTGGTGTAGGTTTTGGAGTTTCTAGAATAGGTTTTGAAGGTTCTAATGAGGGTTTCGGAGGTTGAGGTGTTGTAGGCTTTGGAGGTTGTGGAGTGGGTTTTGGTGTTTGAGGAGTTGGTTCTGGTGGTTGAGGAGAAGGTCTTGGTGGTTGGGGTGCGGGTTTCGGGGGCTCAGTTGAGGGTTTTGGACGTTCAGAAGAAGGTTTTGGAGGTTGTGGTGTAGGTTTTGGAGTTTCTGGAATAGGTTTTGGAGGATGTGATGTAGGTTTTGGAGTTTCTGGAATAGGTTTTGAAGGTGAAGGCTTTGGAGGCTGTGGTGTAGGTATTGGAGGTTGAGGGGTCGGGATTATTTTGGTAAGTTTAGGAGATGAACTACGGGATTCTAGTTCCCTTTCTGCAGAGGACGAAGGGGATTGTTCTCTAAGTTCTCCTTCTTCAGAAGATGGAGGTGTTCTATCTCTTTCAACTGAAGGTCTTTTATTAGAGGGTTCCTCTTCCTCGGCCGATGATGAAGGAGATGGCATTCTAAGTTCTCCTTCAGGAGATACACTACGTTTTGGTCTGCGGACACTTGGAGGTTTGACTAGGGTCTCGGGTTTTTCCAAGGATGATCCTTCTATAGCTCCTACTTGGTGTTCTAAAGTAGATAATAAAAATCGATGTAAATCTTCTACAGTGGTGTGTGAACCTTTGGGAACGGGTACACGAATAATACTAGCCCTTCCATCAGTTTTGGTAAAATGGATGTCAATCCATTGCTCGTCAAGAGTACCAATAGTTGAGGGCCATGAATATGGATAACTTATACTATGCAAACCACATACCCAGTCTCCAGAAAAATATAGAGGTCTAGGCAGATGGACGCGAAATTTATTTGGTCGATTATCTGGATAATCGGAAACATTACTAGGGAGAAAAACAAAGAAAGTATTTGACATTTTTATCAAAAATGAAATAATGAACAATTAAATGAGCTTTTATACTAGTTGGGTCTCATGGATCCATTCTCTTTCAGGATAACCTATAAACTTTACTAAAAGATCGTATGTCCCATCCGGTCTCTTTTTCTTTCTTACAACCTTTTCTATTCTATATTCAGTATCAGCATCCTTACGAACGCGAGCTAATTCCTCTCCGTAAAATGATCCTTTAAACTTTTCGCCTTTATCATCTTGGACTTTGTAACGAATTGGATGAACATGTCCTTTAACCTTTTCTACTTGAAGTATTTCATCACCCCAGTTTGGAATATAACCTTTCTCAAACACTCCTTTTCCTAGACTCATACGCACATAATCTCCTTTCTTAAGTTTTGGGGTTGTCTTTTTATCTGAAAACACATCTCCATATACCTTCTTCCATACTTCTTGAGCGTTGTCAAAATTAACATCAATAGGTCTCATTCCGTGCACCCTACTTTTTGCTTTATTTATTCCTTCTAAAATTCCAGGAAGGACTTGAATCCAGTCTAAGGTCTTGTTTTGGGCAAAATAACGGTAAATACGTTGTTTGATATGTCTAATAGCCCTTTCAGCTAGTGCTGCTTTTACTGTGGAGTGAGTCGGTTCCATCTTGTGAATTTCCTCATTTTGAAAAAATTCGTTCATTTGAGAATTTTTAAATTCTTTTCCCTTGTCCGAAAATATACGGTGTGGTTTCATAGGCATTTGTTTTATTAACTCAGTGAACGCGGTTACCATATTCTCTGCAGTTTTTGATTTTACTGGCACCCCAAATATTCTCTTAGATAAAACATCAATTCCCAAAAGTAAATATTTATTCCCCTTGTTATGTCTTGCGATTGCTTGAAAATCAGCCAAATCTACTTGGACGTCTGTCATAAAGCCTGCGGGTATTGTCAAGGCTCTGTTAAAATGAATACGTCTCGGTCGCATTAACGTATAAGTCCTGTGTCCTTCTAAATAATCTTGCACAACGTTTTTAGGTATATGTTTTAGTACTTTTCTAGCCTCTTTCCATAGTCTATCAACACCTGAAAAGGCAGCTGGAGACTCTGGATTATTGTACAAATCTTGTAAAAGTTTAGTATAATCACCCATTTTTACCACAATGAAGGTTTAAATGATTTGTTACTTGCTTTGCGCTTGGCTTTTATAAGCCTCTGCATCCATTCTTTGCTTGCTCTTGCGGATTGTTTTTTCGTAACGGGTTTGACTCTCTTTAGCGTTAAGAAGGGGCTTTCGTCTGGACCTTGCCACTTTCGTTTTAACTTTTGACGCCTTCGAATGTCATCCTCTTGTCTAGCCTTTAACATTGCTGATTGGTCTAGGGGGATTTTTAGTTTTCTTATACCACTTCTTTTTAATTCCCTTTCCTTTTTCCCTTTCCTAATATTTTCTAGCCTTTGATCCTCTCTTATTTTTCGTAGGCTTTCCTTTTTCTGCTCTAACTCATCAATCCTTTTCCTTTTACCTTCCTCAATATTAATATACTGTAACCTTTTTGTTCCTTGTGGTGGTGGTGGTGGTGGAACATATGTAACCTCCTTATGGTATTGTGGGGTATAAGGAATTTTTTCTTCTCTGATAGCCTTCTTCCTTTCTAAATATTGTCTTTTCTTTTCCTTCTTTCTATAGTCATCAAAACCATCATCACCTATTTCATTTTTAATTGGTTTGATTTCGTAATCTATCAAAGGTCTTCTTTTATTGCTACCTATCTCCTCTTCACCTCTTTTTCTTTTCGGGGGTTTGTAATAGGTAGTAGGTTTTTTCGGTTTTAATGTAATTGTTGGTTTAATATCTGGCAGAATAGGCGGTATAATGTTATAAGATGGTGTCTCTTTTGGATACGAACTAAAGGACATATCATCACTCATCCATATATTATCGTCGTCTTCCCCAATATTTGAAGCCGGAAGGGAGGCTGTAGTATTCATAATTGCACCCTTTGGACTAGCAACCATCTCCACCTTAACCGGTCTATTTTGCTGCTCGTTTCTTAATTGCAAATATCGCCTAAGCTCCTGATTATAGTGTACATTTTTTGCACTAGGTGTCTCCCTTTTCAATTTTGTTTTCTCTAAACCTTGACGAATAAAATCCAAGTTTGGTTCCCCTGAATCTTGGGTTGTCAAACCTTTGTAAATTTCTTCAGGAACTAGAATAAATTTATTAGCCATAATTTTAATTTAAAATTAAGATGTGTCGTGGGTTTTTATAGTCAGCATCCTAGCCATTTCAATGAGAACGGGTGTTAAGAGGGCTGCAAAGACACCCACTCCGTCACCTTTTTGATTAATAACATGTCTGGCTCCCCTTTCACTCCTAACCCTACTCAAACTTCGTACAAATTCTGCATGGGGTAATAATCTTTTCTTTTGCCGAGTTGTAAGTTTGAACCTTTCTTTTACTATGTTCAAACAAATTTCAGCTAATGCTAAAAGTTGTTCACTATTTGACAATTTTAAGAGTCTTTTCCTTTTTCTCCTAGATTTGGTCTTTGACAATAAATGTAAAAATTTTATGTTTTCAGAAATTAATTGATTAACCATTTTTTGGAAAGAAAATTATCTTTTCATCATCTTCCTTAAATATGTTGGTCCTAAGACGTAGGGTAGGATCTGAGGAAGCATGCATATCGATGAGCAAGTAACCATAAGGTTGCTTGGTTGCTTGCCGATATGAGTCTAGAAAATAGTCCAACTGTTTTGGAAATAGGTGCACCCCTATGTTTCTGATGGAAAGCATTGAATTGGGTGCCCTCATTAACATGAGGTACTGAGAATTTTGTCGTGCTACTTTGATTTTCTTATCGAATAAATTTTGTGTAACAAAAATTATAGAAAAATTTTGATGGTGTGATTTTTTGGTAAATAATTCAGATAGATATTTTTCATCAATAGAAAGATTCAAATCATCGAGAATTAGTAAAAGAGGTTTAGGGTATTTTTTAATTAGGTCTTCAGGTGGAACTCCTGAAAACACATCAACTCCAGATTTTTGTAAAAGCGGTACAATATTGTTCATTTCCCCAAAGCAGTAAAGTATAGACTTTGGTTTAGGGTGGATTAACTCTTTGAATTCTGCAATAAGTTTCAACAACAATGTGCTTTTTCCACTTGAACTAGGACCAGATATAATCATCCCAAAAGGTAATTTAAATTTTAAATCTTTATCTGAGAAAGCTAATGAATTCATAATGAATATTTATGGATATACGAAATTTTCATTTAAATATTATTTTAATCGGTTGGTATGCCTGTAACTGATGCGTCTAAACTCTGAAAGAAATCATCCAACTCATCCATTGTTGGAAGGTTATCCAGGGGTTGGGGTGTCTGTGTCACTTCTTCGGGTATTTTTGGCGGACTTTGTGGTTCAGCTTGTTCAGTTTTGGGGCAAGGAATCTGAGTGGTATCATTGTATGGTAAATTAAAGACTCGGCCTTTGTTCTTTACTTTAAAGAAACAATGTCCTGGTAAATCGTATAAAGAATCGAAGGGAACAAATCGACTTCCTTCAAAGCGGGTGCAATAGACTACAACCCCTTCCTTTACTATAATAAAATCTAATTCGACTTCTGTGCTCTTGCACTTACGACATTTCCCTCCTTGGTCGTAAGGAAGAAACCGTGGAGTTGTATAGCGCATACTGGAGATTGTAATCCCTGTAGCTGAGATATTAAACTCAACTTCAGGTAATATTTTTGGGAATTTTATATCGGACATTTTCAATAATGAAAGATTTTCCAATAAATCGTCCCCTTTTATACCCCAGATAGACGAGGAATCAAATGGACAAATACATTTCACCAAAATATATTTCGGTTAAAAGTGCAACTCCCCAAAATGGTATACTATAGATATATCCCCAGATGTCAAACATAAAGTATTTGATGAGGTGTAAATTATGGTGAGGTGTTCATAAATTATCTACTGTATACATAACACTAAAATGCGGCGCTGAAAAAGGAAGAAATCTGGCCTACTGAAACCTAAAGGGGTGTTAACTACTAAGTACGAACCCTTTGGATTAACTACTGCAGATACAAACTACTGAATTTGAAAATGATTTAGTAAAATCATTATCAAACCTCTCTCCCTAATCAACTTTGGTCTCGGTTTTATTAAAACCTCGACCTCGCACCTTACTACTTAGGAACTACACTACTCAACTCGAAACCCGACCATACTACTTTTGCAGTATTTTTTAAACCCCGAAGAAAAATAACTTTTTTCTCAACCCGACCCATCTCTGTTAATAAATCATTAAAATAAAATGATAATAATTTAAAAATAATTGTTCAAAATAGGAACAAAATTACAAAAGGGAAAAAAATAATAGAGGAAAAATATGGCAAATGTAGAAAATAAAGAAAATAATACGAGGATTTTATAATTTTATACTATAAAAATACCGTATATCCTTTAATAACTACCCTAGGTAATTGTTTCTACCTTCCGATGGAGGGAATTAATCGAGGGAGGGTAATTATACGATTTTGTAATTTGAACGTGTTTTATTGCATTTGTTTGTGGTAATTATTGTTTCAATCTACGCTGAATGGGGTAATTAATGGAAGTGGGTAATTATTTTAGGGAGGGCAATTAATTGAAAATTAAAATAAATAATTAAAAATTTTTCAAAATTTGAAGACCCGACCCGAAACCCGATTTTTTTATCAACCCTATGACTAGTATATTAAAAATAATAAATAAATATAAGCATTTAAAAATATGTAAATTAAATTTAAAATAATTAAATTAAAAATAAATTAAATAAAACAGAAAAAACCATTAAGAAAAAATAGATATTTTTTCTTTAAATAAAATATATTTTTCAATAAACCCTATTCTCATAAATACATAGAGGGACAAAAAAATAAATTTGCCTAAATCCTATTTTTAGAAAAAAATGGTGTGAGATTTTTCTGAAGGGGCGGTAATATAAACTAAAAGAAAAATTTTATTTTTCAAAACAAAAAGATTTATGGGGAAGAAAAATAGAGGATTAGGAGGGAACGCTGCGGGATGCAAAATTTGAATAATATGAGAAATAGCCTATAGATTTTGATATAGAGGGAAAAACAAAAGTCTTTGTTTGGATGGGTGGATGGGGGAAAGAAGAGAGGAAAAAGCTTCAATAGGTTTTGGTTTGTGGGGTGGGTGCCTTTTATTAGAGAGGGATGGGTGGGAGAGGAAAAGCCTCAAATCCTTTTGGTTGGTGGGGAAGGGGGCCGGGAAGGAAATGGCTTCACACCCTTTAATTTTGATTGATTAACTGAAATCATTTTTGACAGGCGACACGGGGGTGGGGTTAACTACTGTCAGTCAAAGACTTTGGGAATTATATTTAGGGGTTAAATAAGGATTCGTTTATTTTTAATAAACGGCCGGCCATCCCAATATTCAAGCTCCTCCCGGAGCTATTATTTATTTAATAGAATTTTTAGCCCAAAAATGAGATTGGTCCACCCTGTCATTTTTCAATTTTCGAGCGTATGTATCTCGGCCCAAAGTTAAGACCGGGGGTTGATTTAGGTGTCATTCGACACAGCTCGACGATTTCTATAACATAAGACTGACTGACCATTTTTTAATACTTTGAGGAAGGAAAAAGAGGGATACGAACCCAAGAATTACCTACGGGGCCCGAAGGGTAATTCTAATGGAGGCAATTCAATTAGAGCTCGGTTATATCCATATATCCCAATATTATAAACATCTTAAAAAAATATTTATAATTTGCCTGTATCCAATGCAAAGTTGGTGCCATAGCTATTAAAGCCATTGACAAATAAAGTAATTCTAATAGCCCAACTCTTTTTTGTGTATTTCTTTCAGAAAATCGACTAGTTGCAAATAAAGATGTAGTTATAGACATTGCTCCAATTAAAGTTCCGTAAAAACGCCGAATTTCCTTTTAAAAGGAAAGAAATTTTAGACAAAAAAAGGAAAAAAATACAGGGAAATTATAAAAAGAAGTATACAATCCAGACATATATAAACCAACTAAAGCAGCAGAAACACCAAAAAGATCAGCTTTAAGCCTTAAAATTTTTTAAAAATTAAAAATGAGAGAGAAACAAGTAAAGACACCATTGTTTTCGACGTATGGGGGAGTGACAACCAAAAATGTGATAAGCAGAAGAGAGCAACATACAAAGCTGGAAATTTTTTTAATTTATAGAAACAGTCTAAAGAAAATTCTTTATTTTTACCTGGCAACAAAGCATTGCCATAGTCATAACTAGATAATCAATTATCGGAGCTTGAACACTTGGCAATGCCTCCAATAAAGTCCAATATTGGAGATAAGTTAAAATAAAAAGTCCAATCAAATGTGTCCATATATTTAATGTTTCATTGTTCCAGTGGAAAATACTTGAAAATAAAATAAATTTTTTAGAAATTCGTTTTCATAGAATTTAAACATTTTAAGTTGAAGGCTCCTACAAAATACTACTCCTATCTAATGTCAATTCCTTTAGAATGGGGGCAACAACGAGGATCACAAGACATATTTTATTAACCGTATATCCTTTAATAACTACCCTGGGTAATTATGTTTCGACCTTCCGTTGGAGGGAGTAATTAATTGAAGCAGGGTAATTATACGAGGTTGGAAATTTGAACGTGTTTTAGTGCATTTGTTAGGGGGTAATTATTGTTTCAATCTATCGCTGGATGGGGTAATTAATGGAAGTGGGGTAATTATTTGAGGGAGGGCAATTAATACAAGTTATACGGTAAAAAGCAAAAGAAGACGAGGGGCTCCTTCCTCAATAAAGGGAGAATTGTCTTTAATGTTTGGGTCAACAAACATAAAAAAATGACAATAAAACAAGTATATTTTTAAATGCTTTTAAAATTAATTTAAATATTTTTTTTCTAATTTCTACATAAATTCACCTTTTTAAACACAAAGTCCAGGGTAATTCTAAAGGTTTATAATGATTCTCAATATGCCGATTAATCCTTTAAAATAATTTTAAAATAAATTTTATAAATTTATTTATATTTACCACATGCAAGGGTCTAACACATCTCTGTGAACTAAACGAATATTTCCATGTCTTTTACAAAAACTTTTATTTCGACAATGTTTGCATTTGTTTTGATGATAATATTTTTGTGGAAATAGCCATTGCCTCATTTTGAATATTTTTTTACTAAAAATTTGGAAAAAATATTTTCAAATTAATTAATTAATATTCACATTAAAAGAGAGTAAATTTAATTTAATTAATATTAGTAAATGTTTTTAATTTCTCAAATAGCAGCAAATTTAATGACGTAATAATTATTTTACTAAATTAATTAGTTTAATTTGAAAATATTTGGATAATTAAAAATTAATTTTGCTTTTTTTAATAAATTTTTTGGTACTTTTCTGTTAATCGACCGCAAACTGGGTATTAGCCGAAATTTAAACAGCTATAAGTTTTTGATGCTTGATCCAATACATATGAATTTTATATCATTCGAAAGCTCTCGATAAGCTCTATCTTTTACACGACTGTATGGATCAGGTCTGGTAATCATAAAAAAGCAACAAGTCGATAAGTGCAAGAAATCGTTGTTTTTCACTATTATCGGGGTATAAATTTATGAGTGATTAGACCTGATTCATACAGTTGGGTAAAAGATAGAGCTTATCAAGGGCTCTCGAATGATATAAAATTCATTTGTATTGAATCAAGCATCAAAAATTTATAGCTGTTCAAATCCGGCTGTTACTTAGTTTGGGGTCGTTTACGGAAAGGTACCAATTTAAAAAAAATTTTTAATTATTTTTTGATTTTAAACTGAGAAAATCTTTTTATTTAAATAATTACCCAAAAGTTTGGTTAATCTATGAACAAAAATTCTTTCAATAAAATAATTTTTATGTTCTGATTTATCTATTTTATTTTAACAATTTTTATATTTCAAAGTCTAATTTTAGTCCATTTTAAACACAAAAAGTGTGTTCATATTTTGTGTTCACGTATTTATTTTGTGCTCACATTTTATAGTAGTTTGTGTTTAAAAAGTATCCTTACATTTAACTGGAGATAATAATTTTTATTGAATATAAAATAAAAAGATTATTGAATGATTAATTTGGATTTAAAAAAAGCTGAGAGGATATACTTAGCTTTGACTGGGAAAACTTCCGCAAATAATAGAAAAAGAGGTGAATGAAAGGAGCGAAAGAAAGAAAAGATCGATGATGGATGGATATTGCCTGCAGCGGTTTACAATTATTTGAGGAATTAAAGATCAAAAACTAGTAGACAATTAACTAAAAAGTTATAAACAGTTGTGATTATAACACAACAATGAGGGGGAATTGCTAAATGGTGGACAAATCTAAACAATATTAGGCGTATTAGTGATTTTGGAGAGAATCGTTAGTAGGTAATCGGTAATCGATAGATGGTGCTAACTAGAGATCGAGCCGAGCCTGGACTAAGGCCTGGGTTTTTCCTGTACCCAGAGTCCAGCAAAGGCATTTTCTGACCTTCTTAGGGGTTTCCTGGACTCAGGCCCAGGTCAATAAATCAAAACTGGAACCCAGGAACAGGCTCTAATCCACAGATTAGAAGACACTGGGAATCATTTATTCTCTTTTAAAGACAGTCAAGATTACTTCAGAATTGTGAAATTTAAGCAAAATTTAAAATTTTTCGAAATTTTTCATAATTTAGGAATTATACATTAAGTTAGGTAGATTAATTAAAGAATTATTTTTCTCTTTTAGAGGAAACGTTTGATCATTTAATAAAAAAATTTAAAAGTTTAATTCATTTAGTATTTTATCCAAGGTATATTTAATTGAAAAATAGTTATTGTGAAAATAATTATATATAGGCAAAATACAAATTTAGGAAATAATTTTCAAAATTTACATTTTTATTTATTTAATTGAAAGAGTTTTTATAGTTAAAAATTACTTTTCCCTTTTTCTTTAAATTTAAGTTTTGCGGAAAGTAAAGAAAGCTTTAATGCCTGCAAACAAAGTGACAGCCAATCCTGGAGCATACAAACGTAATGCAGCAAGTGCTCCACCAATAAATTCGGTAGTTTGAGATAATGCACCAGCAGAAACGGCTATTTCCCAAAAGAAAACACACAAAAGTGCTGTGAATTGATTAAGATTTATTAGGGAAATCAATTATAAATGAAAAAATAATTGGGAGCCTAATTAATTTGGGACTTTAAGTGCTAATAAATTTTTGGCTCTATATGAAAAGAAGTCCCAAATCAAATTTTTTCCATATTCCTTAAGAGTGGGGTAATTTTACTATATTTGTGCTGTAAGGCAAAATTAATTTTCTTCTAAATTTTTATTTCGTTTCGGTTCTGTGAGCAGTTACTACTTTTCTGTCCGTGTTTGGACTGACCGTGTCTGTCTGTGTCAGACACGGTCAGTCAAAACAAGGACACACACGTTAAGTTAATCCTTTTGCGCTCATAGCCTTACGGCACAAATCAAAGATAGAGAGAAATGTATAGGGTACCCATTTTAAGGAATATGATAAAAATTTAATTTGAGACTTCTTTTCATACACTATAGAGCCTAAATTTTGATAAAAATTTTAGGGTTTAATTGAATGATTTTAAACATTCAAAAAATTTACCTAATATGAGTGCCAATACAATAAACCCAACTTCCTTTGATTTTACAATACTCAGAATTTTATCCCAAGCATTTTGTTTAAACGGCGCAACATCGTCTGAAGTGGAAGGTTTATCAGGATTATTTTCATTATTTTTAGTGCGAACAATTATCTAAAAAATTATTTCAATCAAAACTTTAAATTAAAATTACGTCAAAAGCTTCTCCAACATGTCGAATTTGAGCCTCTTCTTGATCAGTACCAGTCCTATATCCTTTTAAGCGTTCCAAAACTGCATTTAGCACTTCAGTAACACGATTAGAATTCCCCTAATTTTTAAACAAAATTTAGAAGAAAAATATTTTAAAAACCTCATTTTGTAAATTCTTTGGCTGTTGTTGTGGAGGATCAAAAACAATTGGAACAACATCACTTTGAGTAATTTGTTCGGTACATTTAGGACAGCAATTACGTTTGGCTACAAAGTTTTTAAGACAATTTGTATGAGCCATGTGGTTGCAACATTTTACAAAAGATAAACTGCTAGGCACGTCAAATTTGCAAATAGAGCAAGTTGTCATTAATTCTAAAAATTAATTTTGAAGAATTATTCTAATCAGAAGTCTCTTAAATTAATCCTTCACTTAAAACAAGTTTAATGCACAAAAATGGACAAACAATCATATGTTTCTGTTAGGGACACGCCCAAGTAGGCGCGCGGCCAAGTAGGCGCAAAACCATAACTACCTGAAAAATTTATGGACTTTAACAATTCTGGTACCATTCTCTTTAGCTCGATGAGAGGAATCGTTTAATACCAAATTTGGTAAGATTCGGAAATTTTGAAGCAAGTTATGACTTTGCGCCTACTTGGCCATGCGCCTACTTGGGCCGTACCCTTTCTGTTAGGTTAAAATCTTATTGATTAACAAAAGTATGTACATAATTTCCCATTTGAGTATAACTGACATTTTTACAAATATTTTAATATTAATTTAATAAATATTGACAATTAATTTTAAAAAAGGCTCTTTATAATTTATTAAAAATATTCTTAAAATAAATATATTTATAGGGCTGGCAAATGTTTTTTGATATCATTTTTAGGGTTGCCGTTTTCAGGTCAGGCCGACGGTCGAGGCATTTTTCCGACTTGTTTTTATCGAGACGGGCCGGTACGAGTCTTTTCCGGGACAAACATCTAGGCCCGACTCGATCTTTCGGTCCGAATCGGTTCATTTTGGCAACCCTGTTAATTTTAAAATAAATTAATTGGAATTGTAAATATTTTTAACTTCAAACAATTAAATTCTCATAAACATATTGAGCTAAAAGTAAGCGATTAACATCCAATGCCAAATGAGAAGTTTTCTCTGCCCGTAATTTTATTCCATTTGGACAAATTTCTAAAAATTAAATTTGAAAAAAAATATTTTTAATTTTTACCTCTTTTGTTGTCAACAAAAAGTGAAAGAACTTCCTTTTGCAAATAATCTTTAAGATTCTCTTCTGTCGACAAAATTTTCTTTGAAGATAAAAGACAATTTGTATTTTGAATTAAATTAAACCATCGTTCATAGCAAAGTTGGCGAAGCAAATTTCTATTAAAAAATTAAAGAAAATTTTGTCAAATAAAATATTCAAAATTTTAGAAAAAATACCAACATCCCATAAATATATTCTAAATCTAATCAACACCTAATCCTTTTATTTAAATATTTTTTTCTAAAAATAAAATTACTTTGGAATTTTTAAGTTGTCACTAAAATTGTCCTCAAATCCTTCTTCAATATTAAACTCTTGCCATTCTGGAATTGAATTAAAATCAATTTCTCCATTCTCCATAAAATTCTTCCAAAAAAATTTAACATATTTTTCAATACATTTTTTCTCCTCAAAATATTCATCTTTTTTAATTAATTCTTTATCAGACAAGCTAGCAATAGGTGAATGGCTTAAATCGAGAACCTGAAAAACAAAATTTTTAAGTGTCTGGGTAGGAGAATTTGGACATTACAAAGAGGAAAATAGTGAACGGCCGAGATCCTTTAGATTTCGGAGGTTAGGATCAGGGACGGGACCCCCTTGGCTACGCCCTTGAGATATACCCCACAAAAACCTACCATTCCTATCTGACTTGCATTTGGCAAATCTTCAAGAAGTTCAGAAGGCCCAATAGATTGACGAGAATTTAAAATGTCATCATTGCCAATAGAATCTCGGGCAGAAATATTTTGAGGAAATTTTGTCAAATAACGTTCTGTTGGTGAACGAGGAGTTGCTCTGTAAAACAAAAATAAAATTTTAAAAAAATTTATAATTAATAACCTAGGTGGACTTTTAATTGGAGGAGGACTTCTTGAAATAGCGGGAACATTATTCATTAAACGTAATTTAACGAGAGCTTCGCTAGCTGAACTTCGGCGACGGCTTAAACTGTCACGACCAGTGCATAATGAAGTACTTGGCATAGGAGACAGAATTGAACGAAGTGATTTCTCCGATGGTTTGAAAGAAGAAACAATTCCATCAGAAACATCTGTGGACAATGAGTTGATCGATTCATTTAGCTAATAAAAAATAATTAAAAAAATTAAATTAAAATTAACCAGGTGATTATTTCGAGATGTAAATTTAATGTCCAAATCATTATTCAATTCCTTCTGACTTATCGGAGAATACTGAATAAACGATGTTGGAAAGTTTTGAGAGCTAAATAAATCAATTAAAGTAATTAAAGCAAAAATACTGATTTGGAGAATATTCAAAATAACGACGTTCCATAAATTGCAGTTCTTGTTTGGCCTTGAAACGAGCAATTAATTTACGAGTTTCTTCCTGTTGTTTAAACATTTGAACGTAATGGTCGATTAATTTTGACTTGAAAAAATACAAAAATTAGGCAATATTGAACCTGACAGACACCATTTTTTCCTTCCCAAGATTATCTTAAATATCTACAGAATGAAAAGATCCAAGTACCAAAGCGCCACGGATTCGACAATTTTTGACAAAGTATAGCTCGGCTGTACATTAGGCTCGCGGTACACTGGCCTGCTCCGATCCTTCTTGATTGTAAGCAAAATATAGAAAACGGGATGGACGAACGGAAAAAGTTTTCCCACTCTGTACATAAATAAGGAAAAATTTGGAAAGAAAAAATGGGGTCTGTCAGGTTCAATATTACCAAAAAATAAAATTTTAAAAATATTTTCAAAAAGAAAAACCTTATCAACATTATCATTTAATTCCATCTTTATTTTCTTCTTTTCCAAATCAAAATCATTCATTAATTGTTTAAACTTGTTTGAATAACTCTCTTTATTTCCAAAAGCATTCCTTTGTTCTTCCCGAATTAAATAAAGTTGAATTCTTGTATATTCTTTAAGTGTATCTATTCGATGACGTAAAATATATTTTCGATCGAAAATAAAGTCACTAAAAATTAAAGAAAATTAAATGAGTACAACCTTACGTACCGCAGAGCTATAACTTCGTTCAAAATGGTCGAATCCGAGCATGTCGGGCTAACTCAAGGAACGGACAAGTCAAGGAATGACCAATTCATGGAATATTTTAAAAATCGAAATTTCTTGAAAAATCTGAATATTTTTAAAAAATAAGAATTTAAAAACAGATTAGTACACTTTAAAAAACAGAATTTAAATAAAAATTCTGAAAAATTCTTGATTTTAAAAATATTCTGATTTTTAAAATATTCCTTGAGTTGGTCGTTCCTTGACTTGTCGTTCCTTGACCAGGGTTCCCTGATTTGACTATTTTGAACAAAGTTATAGCTCTGCGGTAAGTTGGGCTGCTCCCAACTAAATTGGTTCAGAATAAAATTTCAAACCGTTTCTTCTTTCCACATTGAATTTGAGAAAAGTTTTGCTCAACTTAATTTAAAAGAGTTGTTTTTTCGAATAAAAATATAAAAATACCTTTCAAACTTGCCATCTTTTTAAATTTCTCGTTTCAATTTTGTTGTAATAATAAACTTGTTGATAAATTTGGATTTGAAAAATATCTAGGCTGACACTAATCTAAAGACAAACAATATAAAAATTTTCTAATTAAATTTTACTGATAAAAAGGAATTTAAAATCTTTTGAGAATTTTTTTGTTTAGTATAAAATTTTTTGCCTAAAAAAATTCTCATAAACTGAACAGAGATGGGGAGAGGGGGAGCAGCTCTTGTTTTAAAAAAAATTTGCTCTTGTATAGTTGACTATTTGCTCTTATTTTTATTTTTAAGATTGCCAATTATTTTATTCGTGCCAATTAAATTTATTCACTTATTGTCAGACAAATTTTTTTAATGAATTCTTAAAATGTAAATAAATGGAACTCTTGCTTGTAAAAATTACATATGTATTTTTACTAGAGATCGGCACGGGACGGGATCCCGTACGGGATTTTACGGGATCCCGTCCCGGAATCCCGGGTTTTTCGCGGAAACGGGATTACCGGGATTAATCCCGCGGGATCACGCCCGTTCAAAAGGGACACGCCCGATTAGGCGCGGGCCAATTAGGCGCGACCGATTAGGCGCCGGCCGATTAGGCGCGCGGCCAATTAGGCGCCGGCCGATTAGGCGCCAAGATTTTAATTAACACCCACTTCCATAAGGCCTCCGCGGAAAAAAGTTTTTGCCGCTGCGGAGGAAGCCGGGCATGTCGAGCGGAACGACGGCCGCCGCTTCGCTACGGTCGCCGCGAGCGAAGCGAGCACGGATTCGGATTAATCCCGGTAATCCCGTTTATTCCCGGGATTAATCCCGGTAATCCCGTTTCCGCGAAAAACCCGGGATTCCGGGACGGGATCCCGTAAAATCCCGTACGGGATCCCGTCCCGTGCCGATCTCTAGTAAAAATACATATGTAATTTTTACAAGCAAGAGTTCCGCGGGCCAAAACTACGCGACCGAAACTACGCGACCGAAACTACGCAGGCCAAAACTACGCAAGCCCAAAACTACGCACGCCCATAACTACGCAAAACTATTTAGTACATTCAATTTGAATTCTGCTGTTGATCAATTAATCACTTTCTGATGATCAACCTTTATCAGTTGATCACTCTCTGATGATTCTTTCTTTGGAATCCGGAAAATTGTTTCCTGAAAATCCGGAAAATTCAGGAAAATCTGTACTATTCCGTAACCATTTTCCTGAAAATAATTTCCGTAATTCGGAAAATATGTATTTTTCCGGAAAATACATATTTTTCGGAAAAAAATATTTTCCGGAACTCGGAAAAATTCAAACGGAGCCGGTCCGGCACGAGCATGGAATTCAAAATCCGGTTTTCGGATCAAGAAACTGATTTTGCCGGACATTACTAAATAGTTAGTTTTGCGTAGTTATGGGCGTGCGTAGTTTTGGGCTTGCGTAGTTTTGGCTTGCGTAGTTTCGGTCGCGTAGTTTTGGCCCGCGTTGTTTTGGGCGTGTCCCCTAATTTTTACATAATTTTTTCGGGACACGCCCGAAAAGGCGCGGGCCAAAAAGGCGCGACCGAAAAGGCGCGACCGAATAGGCGCCGGCCGAATAGGCGCGAGGCCATATAGGCGCCGGCCGAATAGGCGCCAAGCTTTTAATTAACATCCCCCCTCTTTCGCGGAAAAAAGTTTTTGCCGCTGCGGAGGAAGCCGGGCATGTCGAGCGGAACGACGGCCGCCGCTTCGCTACGGTCGCCGCAAGCGAAGCGAGCACGACCGCAGCGAAGCACGGCCATCGTGTAGCGAAGACCATGCCCGGCCTACCCTCCGTAGCAGCACAAAAACAGTTTTTCCAGCGAAGATTCAGTTGGCCATAACTTTGTTCAGAATCATCCAATCGAGCTGATTTTGGTGTCATTCAACTCAGCTCGTCGATTCCGTTCGAATGACATATATATTGTCCAATTTTGAGTCTGGTACTGAAACTGTAGTTAGGCCGGTTTTTTAATTTTGGAAAATTTTTTTGTAAAATTTTTGTTTTATAATTCAGCATGGTCATGGTCCCATTTGATGGTCGTTGGGACCATTCTAATTGATTATAAATCAGAATATTTAATTAAAAAGATTGGCGCCTATTCGGCCGGCGCCTATATGGCCTCGCGCCTATTCGGCCGGCGCCTATTCGGCCGGCGCCTATTCGGTCGCGCCTTTTCGGTCGCGCCTTTTCGGCCCGCGCCTTTTCGGGCTGTACCCAATTTGGCTCCCCTACAAAGGATAGATGAATTAAAGGATAGATGCGCTAAAGGATAGATACGGCCAAAAACTATCAAAGGATAGATGCATCAAAGGATAGATGCACTAAAGGATAGATACGGCCAAAAGCGATCAAAGGATAGACAGCTGAATAGGTCGTTTGAGTCTGGACAAAAATGTTTAATAATCTGAATCTTCGCTGGAAAAACTGTTTTTGTGCTGCTACGGAGGGTAGGCCGGGCATGGTCTTCGCTACACGATGGCCGTGCTTCGCTGCGCTCGCGGCGACCGTAGCCGTTCCGCTCGACATGTTCCGCTAGTTCCGCTCGACATGCCCGGCTTCATCCGCAGCGGCAAAAACTTTTTTCCGCGAATATACTAAAGTACAAATAAAATAAAAATCAGAACAGAAACATGAAATCAGAACAAAGATCTGAAAAAAACAAACAAAGATCAGGCACTCAACAGTTGGTACTCAACTGGACTCCAAACTTTATCTATGTTTTACCCAATTTTAGACGTGTCTATACTTTAATGGATGCTACCCCTATCTATCCTTTGGCGCATCTATCCTTTGATGCATCTATCCTTTAATCGTTTTTTGCCTTATCTATCCTTTAGCAGCTTTTGGCCGCGTCTATCCTTTGATCGATTTTAGCCGTATCTATCCTTTGATTCATCTATCCTTTGAGCGGGCACGCCCAATTTTTTCTAATTTCTTTAAAATTAATTTATCGATTTTTAATTTTTTTTAATTTTGGCGCTAAATGCTGCATTGAACTCGGTACACCTCAATTGAGTCCGCACGATTGAGTCCCCACGATTGAGTCCGCACGATTGAGTCCCCACGATTGAGTCCCGGCACAATTGAGTCCCCACGATTGAGTCCGCACGATTGAGTCCCCCTTGTATATACCTCAATTGAGTCCCCGTGGATTTAATAAGTTAAAATTTCCATATCCGGCATGCGGGATTATTTCAAAAATGTTGTGGGGCGTAGTTAGTTGACAGTATCAGCTTGCAATACATGTTTCCTTACTTCAGCATTGAGATTAAACAAGTTTTTTTAATTTTTTTGAATTTTTAAAAATTTTTTGAAATTTCTAATTTTTTATAAATAAATGTCGGCAAATTGGTTCTGAGATCCTACAGTTGGTGTGCACCCTTGTTATTAGCTTTAATCCCTCCAAATCCTAGGATATTTTTATCTTTTTTTTCATTTTTTCTAAATTTTAGTTCTTCAATTTTCTTTACAAATCTATACGCTTCTCAACATGTCCAAATGGGCACTACGGGTACAACGGCCATCAATGTGGAAGAGCAAAGCTTCAGCGCGGAACATCTGCCGGATAGCATTGATGACTCGCAGCGGGACATCATCGTCGAGAAATATGAGCTAGCCGAAGACGAACCAGTGGGGGCGTCGATTCGCGCCGTGAACTTCATTAAATTGCAAGGGAGACCATCAGTAACGAGGATAATGTAGTGCTGGGAGAGGAAGAAAAAAATCAAGAAATCCATCCAAATTCTTGATATCTACCTTAATACACCGATATCACCCTTAAAAGTTTAAATTTGCATTAAATCCCTCCATATCCACCGATATACAACTTGATCCCTCGATGTCGAATACAAGTCCCCTGATGTTCACTTTAATCTCTAAAAATCCCCCGATATCCCTCTTAATCCTTTTTAATATAATTAAATCCACGGGGACTCAATTGAGGTATATACAAGGGGGACTCAATCGTGCGGACTCAATCGTGCCGGGACTCAATTGTGCCGGGACTCAATCGTGGGGACTCAATCGTGCGGACTCAATCGTGGGGACTCAATCGTGCGGACTCAGTTGAACTGCTCCGCATTGAACTCGCTAGTCCTTTAAAAAAGCAAGCTAACTAATGTTTTATTTTCCACTCTTTCTGATATGGAAAATTATAATTTGGTACAAGCCGGACGAGTAGTTCCATGCAAATTTTTTTGTTGTACCTCCGCTGATAATAGTCGGGGTCTGGAAATAATCTGGAGACTGAGAAAATGCGGATTCCAAATTCCGGATCCGAAATACATGATCCGCTACGATATTTCGAACTGCGGATCTAGATTCTTTTTTCAACCTTTCGCTATCTGTGTATTTTCGTTAAAATGTTAAAATTTTTTGTTTTAAATTTTAAAAGCTTAATCACATTAACCTTAATCTTATTTAACTTATTGTTAGCCTGCCATGCGATTTTTAATTATTAATAATTTTTAGCTTTTTATAGAATTAATTATAATTATTCTCCAAATTACCCTATTAATAAACAAAAATAATTCCAATGCGACGACCACAAACGCAGCAAACGTCTTCAACACAAAACAACAAATCCTTGGAAAGAAAGGTTCAACTAACTATGGCAAACTTAAAAGGTTTTCTTTTCGGGGTTTATACAAATTTCTATTAATTTAGCGTCAGAAAGTTTACTTCCAAAATCGTTGTTGGACCGTGATTCGAAGCTTGTTCCAAACAATGTTGCTGCAAAAACGTTTAAGCATGGGCGTACTCTTCATAATGTTTTCTGTTGTAATGATCTTTCTCCCAAAAAAGTCAATAAAGTTCCAACAACCTCCTCAACAAGAGATAGAGGACGTATTCCATTTTATCGAAATGTTAACCGCAGTGCTAATAGTACTAACAATTCTGTGAGTTTATCAACAACAAAAAATTCGTCTCAAGTAAAAGAAGCTGCAACAATTGGACCTAAAAGGAAGATTGAATTTTCTAAAGGTTTTTAAATTTAATTGAAAAAATTAAGAGATCAAGGGCTATTTACATAGTTTATTTTGCTAGGCAGAAAATTTTCTTTGTTTAACCTCATTAAAAAGAGTAGTGTTACATATCTATTTTGCTAGACTGAAAAACTTCGTTCAACCTCATTAAAAAGAGTTGTTTACATAACTAGAGCTAGGATTTTTAGGCGCTAAAACTTGAAAATTGACGCCCATATAGTCGTCACTAAAAACTGTTAAAATAGGCACTAAAATTTGTGTGCATAAAATAGACTAAAATTTATGAAAAGCCGTTGAATTTAGCAATAAATCATTGAATAAACTAATTTTGACAATCTCAAATTAAAATAACACCGGATCTGTACGTTTCAGCAGCGGGCCTTTATGTGAAAAAACAGGTATTTGTCTAAAAATCCTAGCTCTATACATGTAACATTTAGAGGAGGAGGAAAATGAAACGAGATTTTTGTCTCTTCATCTTAAAACGACTTTTAATGATAATACAAATCTTTATGCAAATTATTTAGCTCTGGATCCTCCTTCTGAACCTCCTATGCAAAATCCTCGTTTTGATGAAAGTGGTTATGCTATTCCAAATACTACCAATTCAACACCAAAAATTAAAATAACGAGGGATATTAACAAACAAAGTAATCATTTATTTGGAGATTCTGAATTTCTTAACAATTCTGTGCAAACAATAAGTCCTAATGTTTATCGTGGGAAAGCCGCAGCATCGACAGATGGGGATGAGAATTTTGAAAGTGCTTTTGAGGAATCTTTTGACACAGAAGAGCGTGAAAGGCGTGAACAAATTGATAAATTAGAGAAGATTAACAAAAATAAAGACGATAAATTTTTTGACTTTTTTGATGTAAATATTGATAAAACAAACGAAGCGGAGGATGAAAATTTCCCTATAACTCTACCTTCAATTCCAACTGAAATTCAACCAACATTCATTGCCGATTTGGATAAACATGTTAAAGAAATTAAAGAAGGACTTAATTTTGTGTCAGAAAAGTTGGATTCTGTTGTTGGGCATATGGATAAAACTTTGGGTGATTCAAATATTTATGAAGAAAATGAAATGGTCAGTAATAAATTTGGACGTTTATCTACTTCGTTTAAGTCAACTCAAACGCCTGAATCATGGTTAAACAAAAACAATGAAGAGACAAGTCAAAATAAAGGTTTAAAATTTTATTTAAAATTTTAACTTTTTCAGGGAGAATTAGGAAAAGTCTGAAATTTATAATTTTGAGACACGGACACTATGGCGCGAGCCATAGTGTCCCCCTAAATGGGGAAAGGAAAAAATTTTGGGAGGGGATTGGGCAAAAAAGTGACAAAAAAGACGATTTTTAATTAATTATAAAATAGGCATGGCCTCCCTCCCGAAATCTGACCCCCGGCTTCCCCCTTGTCCGAACATATATTTTTATGTTTGTGTCATTCCCTTTGTCATAGGTTAGTAAAGGAAATTTTCAGATATTTTTACTCTCTTAAAACTAAATTTATAAGTAATGAGAAATTAAATTTACTTTCTTTTGCATTTATATCAACTATCTGAACATTTTAATTTTCATTAAATTATTTCAGGTGAAAGAAATGAGGCTTTAAGTGTAAAAAAGAAACGGTATTTTCTGATTGATTAATTTTCAAAAATTTTTCTTTAATTTTTAGTGACTTTATTTTCGATCGAAAATATATTTTACGTCATCGAATTGATACACTTAAAGAATATACAAGAATTCAACTTTATTTAATTCGTGAAGAACAAAGGAATGCTTTTGGAAATAAAGAGAGTTATTCAAACAAGTTTAAACAATTGATGAATGATTTTGATCTGGAAAAGAAGAAAATAAAGATGGAATTAAATGATAATGTTGATAAGGTTTTTTGGTTGAAAATATTTTTAAAATATATTTTTTTTATTTTTTAAAGTCAAAATTAATTGATCATTACGTTCAAATGTTTAAACAACAAGAAGAAACTCGTAAATTAATTGCTCGTTTCAAGGCCAAACAAGAATTGCAATTTATGGAGCGTCGTTATTTTGAATATTGTCCTGATTTAAGGTTTTATTTTGAAAAGATTATATTTTGTCCAAATTTTTGGTTGATGCGTTGCTTACAATTTTTGATATTCTTTCATTTTCAGTTCATCTCCTGTCAAAACTCAAGAAAAGCAACTGCCACATTTTTCGCCTGGCCTTCATGAACTCAATATCGAAGAAGACTCTGAAAATTCTGATGGGGAATTAGCTGATGATCTTGACTCTACTCTGGAGGTTTTTGATGAAGTACAATCTTGCCAAGTTGCTGACAATCTTTCAGGTAAAATCTATCGAATTCTACATTAATTTTTATGCTCAAAAATGTTTTAAAATTGTTATTTCTTGCTTTAGATTCTTCTACACCAAAAAAATCTACGCCAAAAATTCCTCTTCTTGATTTTACTTTGCTTTCAATTAATGAAGATATTCGGCGAAAAAATAATATTCCTGACCAATTTATTCAAAATTTTGAAGAAAATCTCCCAGTTCCTATTATCGAAAAGGTTACTTCATCAGCAGATAATTTGAATTCTTCTGTTCAACAATGTCCTTTGGAGTTTTTGGCTGATATGGCTTTGACAAACGAAGAGAATGAATTGAATGAAGATATTTCTGTTTTACCTTTACAACAAATAAATGATCAATTGAATGAAAATAATTCCCAACAAGGTTTTTTTATCTTTTTATTTTTTAAATCATATAATTGCAGAACATGAAAAGTCTGAACCGAAAAATGATTCGATTATTTCAACATCTTCTGAAGAAGAAAATAATTCGGGTGGTAACACCAGTGAGGATATTACTTCATTGCCTTTTGTTAGCGAGAATGTAATGAATTCCACAAATAATGGGTTAAATCAGGTTGCTGATTTATTTTTCGATTTTTTATGTAATAGGAAATATGATTGTTTTTCGGTGGTGTACATCAGGAATCCTGCCGACGAAAAAACAAAATTCCCTATTTCGGGATTCCTGCCCGAAAAAACGTTGGGAATTCCCGATTTTGGTGAATCAGGACGGGAGGATCTTTGGTGCACACTTTTATAGACAAATAAATTAATAATTCACTTTTTCTTTTTATTAAAAACAGAATCTTACAAGCGAAAATGTTCAATCACCTCGTGTTAAAAATCTTGAGAATATTGTTATTGCTCAAGAACAGCTTATTGCTCAAATTTCTAACAAAAATGTTCAAGCTGAAAATAATGTTGCTAATTTGGAGGAAGTTTTCGATGTAGTTGAAGTAAATGGTGGAAATGAAGGTTTTTCTATATTTAAAATTTTAAAAATGGTTTTAAGATTCAGTTGGAGAGTTTCCTTTGATTTCAAATCGAAATGAGACGGATTCTATCCTTGAAGAAATTCCAAGTCCGCGTGACACGGATTCGATTGAGAATAAAAAGGATAATGGAATTATCGATAGAAGTGCGTCCAATCAATCTAAAATTAAAAGTGTGAATACATCATCACGTGAGAGAACTTCGGCAGAAATTGAGTCGATTCCTGAGGAGGTTAATCTTTAAATATTATGGAATAAAAGATTATTTTTAACTTTTAAAACAGTATTTTCATTTTTATTTCAATTATAGATTGTTTCGATTAAAAATGGGCATACCTCTGCAAATACAATATCGTCTTCAAGTTTTGATTCAAAATCTGAGCAAGGTCAACAACAAGAATCGAATAATAATTTAGAAAAGAACATTACATCTCGAAATAATCAGGTCATTTTTTTAATTTTGACTTTTAAAAATTAATTTCAATAGTTGAACGAATCGCTTAATTCAACATTGGAGGATGTTTCTGATGGAATTGTTTCTTCTTTCAAACCATCAGAGAAATCACTTCGTTCAATTCTGTCTCCCATGCCGAGTACTTCATTATGCACTGGCCGTGACAGTTTAAGCCGTCGCCGAAGTTCAGCTAGCGAAGCTCTTGTTAAATTACGCTTAATGAATAATGTTCCGGCTCTTTCAAGAAGTCCTCCTCCTATTAAAAGTCCACCTAGGTTATTAATTTAAAATCTTTTTTGAAACTTTATTTTTGTTTTAACAGAGCAACTCCTCGTTCACCAACAGAACGATATTTGACAAAATTTCCTCAAAATATTTCTGCCCGAGAATCGATTTGCAATGATGACATTTTAAATTCTCGTCAATCTATTGGGCCTTCTGAACTTCTTGAAGATTTGCCAAATGCAAGTCAGATAGGAATGGTAGGTTTTTGTGGGGTATATCTCAAGGGCATAGCCAAGGGGGTCCCGTCCCTGATCCAAACCTCCGAATTCTGGAGGATTCTCGCCCGTTCAATATTTTTCTCTTTCTAGTTTCCAATTTGTATCCTACCCAGACTCGTAATTTTTTATTTTTCAGGTTCTCGATTTAAGCCATTCTCCTATTGCTAGCTTGTCTGATAAAGAATTAATTAAAAAAGATGAATATTTTGAGGAGAAAAAATGTATTGAAAAATATGTTAAATTTCTTTGGAAGAATTTTATGGAGAATGGAGAAATTGATTTTAATTCAATTCCAGAGTGGGAAGAGTTTAATATTGAAGAAGGATTTGAGGACAATTTTAGTGACAACTTGAAAATTCCAAAGTAATTTCTAAGAAAAATATTTAAATAAAATGGTTTTCTTTACCATAATGTTAAGAAAACATTAAATTTAATTTTTTCCCTCTTCTGATTCTTGGGTGTTGATAGGAACAAATTAATTACTAAATGTTTAGGATTTCAATATTTTTGAAATTTTGAATATTTTCTGACAAATTTTTAATTTATTTTCTTTTAATTTTTTAATAGAAATTTGCTTCGCCAACTTTGCTATGAACGATGGTTTAATTTAATTCAAAATACAAATTGTCTTTTATCTTCAAAGAAAATTTTGTCGACAGAAGAAAATCTTAAAGATTATTTGCAAAAGGAAGTTCTTTCACTTTTTGTTGA